TGTTTTTGTTTTCATCTGTTTTGTTTTTTTAATGACTTATTTAAAATCCGAAAAAAAAATCCGGCAAGGCAGCGCTTAGTTGGTCTCGGTACACGGTAGGGTTTAAAGGCGTCGGAATATCCAAACTACTGTTTGGATATTCCGACGCCTTTAAACCCTACCGTCCAGTTAGTCCCACAGATGTTCGACTGGAGAAAAAAGATGGATTATATGGACACCAGTCGAGTGTGTTAATGTGAATGTTTGGGAGGAAGTCTTGACAAACTCTAGATACATTGTTAACAAGCTGAAAAATTAGGCATAACGCACACAGACGCGCGAGTGAGGGGAACACTGACACAAAGTTGACGAGCTCACAAATCAAAATCGCGCATCGGCTTTCTTTCAGTTTTTGGATGAATCTAACGATTATGATTATGATTGCCTACTGTATTAATAGTTGTTTCAGTGGTCTTAAGTGGCTATTACACAGATTGCAGGATGGCAAAACCTGGCCACCCTTGTATCGCTCTTTTTACTTTTCTCCATTCTTCCCTAAGCATAAACCGGTCAGTAATGTCTAGACTACAGTATGGCATTTAATCAATTGAAAGATCTCGACAAGTTTAATAATGAATTAATTCATTTAAATTAATTGTCTCAAAGTTGCCTGAACAAAACGCAAGAGCATTTGACTCAATGATAAATTATATTTGCTGACAAGGTCACTGTATCGACCATAGAACTTACGAAATGATGACCTTAAACGAGAATGCTGATATTCTTGTTTCATCAACTTGTTTGTCAACAATTTACCTCGTTTTAGAAATTGTACATAGGTAGAGCATGCTCTTGCGTATCGAATCAACTGAGAGATATAAACCCCGTATGCAGGTGATGAAGGTACATGTATATTGCTGCATAAGTAAGGGAAGTTGACGATTGAAAAGTTAAAGTCAATGTCATCACGTTTATCATAAAGCTTGGTTGTTAGATTACCATTAACATCTTTTTCAAGTAAAATATCCAAAAATGAAACAAATGTGTCAGACTCTGTGGTATCTTTTATTTCAAGCTTACCAAGATATATCGTATCGACATAAGAATGGAAATAACCATTGTTAATTGACAATACGTCGTCGATATATCTAAATATCGAGTTGAAGGCCACGGCAAGTGTTTTCTTTTTTTCATGTATAAGATTTTGGACAAATTCTGCTTCGTATGAATACAAAAAAAGGTCTGCTAGTATCGGGGTGCAATTGGTCTCCAAAAACCATATAGATATTGTCAATCAGAAACTCAATCATCTTTTTTATGTCAACTTCAGAGGACTTGTGTGTATAATCAGAATGTTTTTTACCAAATAATTTTGCAAATGACCAATGACAATGTAAGTAAATTTACGAGTTCCATTTTTATTGAAAAAAAAAAAAAAACAGTTGTCAATGATATCAAAATGTCTGGACTTTAATTTATCGTGGGGAATGGTTGTGTATAAAGTTGAAAAGTCGTAAGTTTTTAAGCTGTCGATTTCGGTAAAATCTTGTGATTTCAAATTTTCCAAAAGTTCCTTGGAATTTTTAAGTATCCACATCTGATTTACACCATTCTCGAATATATTGTTGCACAGTACTCTTGAAGTATATGCTTCACTACTGTTAATATCTTAGTGAGGAGTAAAGAAAAAGGCTTGGTTGAACATTTACTGGAACCCGCTATGTATCTTTGTAAGGATTTTTATGAAGTTTCGGAATCCAATATAGATATGGTAATTCAAATTCATTTTGGTTGTTTGGTATATTAAAAATATTCAAAACTGACATATGATTTTGAAGAATTTCTTCCTTAGAAAGGGAAATATGAGTATAAGTTGGATTACCACTTGTAGAATTAAATCCAAGTTCCTCTAAAATACATTTAATATAATGAGCCTTACAAACAAAGACAATGTTGTTACCTGCTTTGTCAACAGGGACCAGTACGTACTGATTATGTAATCTATCTAATTCTTTTTTCACTTTTAGATTATTGAATACAGAATAATAGATGGTTCTCATATTACCCCTCAATCTTTTAATGCGCGATTTTAACATACATCTGATACATTTAATCCATTCTGACAAAGTGTTAAGGTCTTCTTTTTTCATGTCTGGCGATCGCCTGGCGTAATCCTCTACAGAATCCATAATATTTATAAAATTCCGACGCCAGTTGAAGCATCGGGGTTCCCTATATTAAGGACCTTTTAAAATTAGTGATCTAAGGTCCTCATCATTAACTATATTAACGTCACCAGTAGTAACGTGTCCAGCATGGAAGTAATTATTGTTAATTGATAATACGTCCTTTTTAGTTTTTAAAATAAACTCTACTTCATATGAATACAAAATTAAGTCTGCTAATAACGGGGTGCAATTGGTACTGGGAATTCCGACAGATTTTTGAAAGACCTGATCTCTAAAAACTACAAAGATATTGTCAATCAAAACTCAATCATCTTTTTTAATATCTACTTCAGAGTACCTGTGTGTACAATCAGGAGGGGTTTTTTTTAAAATACATGTAATTTTGCAAATGACCAATGACAAGGTAAATAAATAAATTTACGAGTTCCATTTTTATTTTAAAAGCAGCTGTATGATGCCAAAAAGCTAGATTTAAGGAGGAAAAGGACCTTGAGCTGAAAAAATACTTGTCATTCATTTTTTTTTCATATTTTGTATATTTCTAAGTAAGTATGTCCCACACATCTTAAAGCAGTTATATCATTAGGTTTCTTACCTTATTTTGGAGATATAGATTGACAAATACTATGCCCTACAGTATCTAATTGGAGTTTTAATTCTCCATGTTTCCGGGCTCATTACTCTGTCCATAATGGGATTTTTTAAGTAATATAAAAATATCAAAGTGGACATGTGTCTTTTAAATTATTTCAGAGTATAACTAGGATTTAAAATTCGAAAAAGCAAGTTTTGTCTATCACACTGCCTCTGGATAGGGAAAATTACGCACTTTTTTAGACAACTTAAACAATAAAAAACGTAATTTAAAAAAAATTCTATCATTCAATATTTTTTAATTTACGTTGAAATGCAAATCCTTCAAATTGTTGATTAACTGTAAAAATTTCGAATGATGAAGCTGACCTCATTATTTCACAGGACATCGTTAAAGAGGATATAAGCATAACAAAAAACGTGTCATGTTACATTTTTCGAGTACGGGAAAAACCAACTATGACGTCACACGTAAGCTAAATAAGCGAAAATAAGATATACCTACATATGATTTCTGTCATCAGCCATGCAAAAATAATTTTTGTGTTCCCCATTTCTCAAAATATTTCATCATATACTGCTTACGACCTGTTTTACATAATAATACCGCCCCTGTGTTCACAGAGTATGATCTTGCTCTACTAACAGATTGACGTCACCGACTCGTTGGACGCGCAGTTTAGGGAAACAGAGGAGTGGATCAATCTTTTTCATAATTTGTTAATGTTTACAAGAATGTTAAAATTTTTAATTTTTTTTATATAAGATGGTTAATCAAGTTTTAAAAAATGTCAAAAAATTATACAAGAATTGATGCTTAACACGTTTTGCACTTATATAAACGGAGACTATGACGTAGTTAAACAGAGCCATGTGACCATGTGTCCTTCATCCCCTTAATTTATCGTGGGGAATGGTTTTATAAAGAGTTGAAAAGTCGAACGTTTTGATGTTATTTATTTAGGTACAAAAATTGTGATTTCAAATTTTCTATAAGTTCCTTGGAGTTTTTTGAGAATCCACAACTGATTAATTAACACCACTTCTCGAATATATTGTTGTACAGTACTCCTGAAGTTTCTCCTTCACTGTTAACATTTTATTGATGAGTAAAGAAAGAGGCTTGATAGAACATTTACTGGAGCCCGCTATGTCTCTCTCTCTCTCTCTCTCTCTCTCTCTCTCTCTCTCTATATATATATATATATATATATATATATATATATATATACCGGTATATATATATATATATATATATATATTTATTATACTTTCATGTTAAATACTAAAATCTGATTGGTTTAGACGCATTTAACAATCCGTAATGTTACCCTCAGAGTTAGCAACACACTTGACAACGGGTAACATTACGAAAATATCACATGCGTTCAAATCATGCGCGTACGGTTCACCGTAGAATTCTCAAAACGTCGGTTGTGCGTTTGAAAGAAGCCGAATAAACTACGTCAATAAAAGCTTCCGTCCGATGTAGCTTACCTGAAAACAACAAACGACAGACGAAACATCCTTGCGAGTGCACACTTTAGATGATAAAGGACTTTTTGAGTAGCAAACAAACAATAAAGAGGTTGGTAAATCTTTTCCGAAGCTTTCTTATTGAGAAAAATAGAAGCGGGGAGTTTGAAAGCTTTCTAAACGTGAACTTAACGACGATCTCCGAATTTTTTTATGACACCCGAAATCAATAAGACATTCAGTATAATAAAATAAATAGTGCACGTTTTTGAGGGTAACAGTTGAAATTGACACCCCTCGGAAAACCATTGTCAACCTCCGCTGACGCGTCGGTTGACAATGGTTTTCCTTGGGGTGTCAATTTCAACTGTTACCCTCAAAAACGTGCACTATTTATATAATATATATATATATATACATATATATATATATATATATATATATATATATATATATATATATATATATATATATATATATATATATATATATATATATATATATATATATATAACTTCGAGAGTCGGCGCACTGAATAGGATTTAGTGACACGCACTTTCATAGAATGATTTTAATTAAAAGCAGCACACTAGTAATCAATATAATGATTGAAATAGCCGTAGAATTTTTAATACTCTGTATAATGGAAGTAAAATTCTAATACTTTTTTTATGACGATCAGACAAATAAAACTTACTCACGCGGGAAAAGAAACAAATGAGTGATTCAAAACATCTAAAATGTGCTCTTTTAATGTTACAGCCTGTGAAGTAGGTACATATGGTGATAACTGTTCAGGAGGACCGTGTCCTTATGGATTCTATGGATTTGGATGTGAGAGTAAATGTAACTGTACCGCTAATCAATTCTGTGACAGGAAAATAGGGTGTGTTAACAAAACTTTAAATGGTAAGAAATCTTATCATACCAGTAAAATGAGGGTATTTAGAAGTTACATGTGTACATATATTATCTTCAGCTGCTTCAGCGATGCAGCATTAGCTTCGTTTTGTTCAAGATATATGATAACGCATTCAGAGTAAAATGTATTGAACTCGTCAGTATTTTTCCTTGGTGTCTGTTTAGTAGACCTAGGTCAGCTCAATATATTTTGTCGTCTGTTTAAAAGATTTCTGTCCCCAAAATAAAATCCGTAATCTTACAGTTGCTTTATTAAAAAAAAAAATCCACACCTGCAGGCATGCTTTAAAGGGTATCTTAGGATCAAGATATATCTAAGGACAATCTCAGAGAACATCTTAGTTTTAATTGAGGTTAAAAAATACCCTATTTCAGGCTCTTTTTACTCTTTGTCCTAATTTAAAACAACGGAGAGGATTTTCTATTAAATTTTTTCGGTGAAATAGGTAGTGCTGGTGCCAGCACTAGTGCAAAATCTTTAACCTACATGCATATGAATTTACAACGATCATTACCGTTACTTTGAATTTAATCCAAGACTTTTTTGTGAAATAATTACATGTATAATGTTTGTTTTTTTTTGTGATTTCAATTCAATTTAGCATTTATTGTACTGTGTGTACGTAAATGTATACATGTACATATACCTGTACAAATGGAAAAAGAGAAAATTTTAATTGACAATGCATTTATTAATTGATGTATTAAAAATTATCAATGTGTGTTTGTGTGTGTGTTTGTAATATTGCAATTTTCTTCTGTCGATTTCATAATCATGCCCTCTGAACCCTTCTTGAACTGAGCTTTTTTGTGTGTTACTTATTGCTGTGAAGTCATTTTGAATGGAAAGAGCAAGAGGGCTTATGTTGTGCTTTGTTTACATGTACAGTGCATTTTTAATATTTTATTATAGGATTAAACGTTCTTTTTTCAGAATTTATCGATGTGTAAACTCGTACCTTTGTACTCACAAACTGAATAAAAGTGCGAAGCACTTTTATGTAAAGTTTGTGAGTACAAAGGCATGAGCTTACACATCGATAAATTCTGAAAAAAGAACGTTTAATTCTTATAATTCCAATTACGAAGTTTAAAATTATTTCTCTTTGAAGCCTCCATACAATCTGTTTTTTCTGTACAGCGTAGGAATACTTTATGCCACGATGTGGAAATAAATCACAATCGAGATGAACGTAGATAAAGTTCAACTTTGATTGTCAAAACATTAAATAAAATAAGCTTATAAAAACTCATCGAATATTGTTTAAGTCAACAAATATCGTAAATACAAGTAGACGTCGTTGACCATGTTGACATAACGACAGACGCTCTAAAACGAAAGTAGCAGACCGACGACAACTTTGATTTGCTCTGGTTTGTTCAAAGACGGGACAGAATATAGGATGTAGAAAAATGAATTTGATGCTAATAAGGCAAGAGTCTAAGGTACGTTTCTCTTTCCTATCACAGCGCTACCGAGAACTGAGCTGATTTGTATTGTAGGCCTATTAGGAACGTCGAGAATATGACTTCAGAGATTTAAAAAATTCACACTCGTGATCTGACGGTGACATAAACATAATATTTCCGTCTGTCAGTCCTGTGTGTCATCAGTTTTGTTTTTATTTAATTTCAAGTTTCTGTAATTGTTTAGCCAAAACACAGAATAGAAGTAACGATTTGTTTCATTTTTCTTTACAATAAAAGCTAGGTCAAGAAAGGTAGTTCTGATTGAGAATTTATCGATGTGTAAACTTTTTCTTGAATTTGTTTTCGTCCAATCAAAACACAGGAAATCAATAAATCAAATTAAGATTGGAATTATATAGGATTTAAGCTTAATGACTGCTAGTGAGATCTTACTTCTAATGTACTAATTTTAGTTGTTCCTATTGTAAATATCATATTGAGCTAAACGGTGACTTCATATATTGTCTATCAATCTGTATAAAATACAAAGACCATTAAAGTACTCAGTGTTGTGTTCCGTGCAATATTCAGAAGATTCCGGGTTTGCCAAATATTAATGGACGGATCCTGTTAAGACGATTAACGCGAAGTCCCTTACACTCTTAAGAGACCCCACTAGTCTTGAAAAGCCGTCTAGTGGACAGTCCAGCGACCCCCAACCCTGTCTTGCATCCCTAGGGAAAAAAAGACAACTTTGAAGAGGAAAACTGGTAATTACTGTTGAATATAAAAAGTTATCTCTACTAAGTTTAGTTTCATTATTTAATCATCATATAGTGAAAAAGCATATCTGCAGAATATTTTGATTTTAGTCATTGTTTACAAACATTGAGAAATCCCACTGTGGGACGCGGAGACCCGTCCTTCGGATGAGACCGTATAAACCGAGGTCATGTGTCGCAGCGGGTTCTGGCACGAAAAATATCCCTCACTGCTCAATGGCCCTAAGTGCCGAATATAGGTCAAAAATTTGTAACTCTCTACCGGCAAGTGGTGGCGTCTCCATATGAGTGAAAAATTCTCGAGAGGGACGTTAAACAATAAAAACAAACAGTGAGTCGTTAGTCAGATGTACGAGGGGTGATCAAAAAGTTCGCGAATTATCTCTATATTTACAAAACCATAATTCAGATCAGAATGAAATTTGGCATACATATAGTCGTACAAATTTTCTATAAATAGCAGATGTTATGTGATGTTTTGCTCCATGTTTGTGATGTTACGGTGTGAAAATGAAGTCTATATATGGATGACTTGTGACAAAAAATGGTTGACTCAGTCGCACTCGAGCAACGAACGGCTGTAGAGTTTTTCGTATATCTTGGAAATTCCTTTGCATATACATACAAATATAACATATATTAACATATAATAATTTGTACAAGGTTTATGAAGACAAAATACTTGCCAGAAGTTCACTCATGAATTGGATCGATTGTATTAGTGAAGGAAGGGAGATAGTTAAAAATGATGTTTGTTCTGTTGCCCAGTTAAGGCAAGCTGGGGAAGAGATGTGTCCTTAGTTGAGCAATTTGTTATGAAAGATCATCAAGATACACGTAGAAAATAGTTGAATATCTTAACAATAATATAATTATTAAATCCTTAAAATATCGTTTACTTTAGATTTTTAACATATCAGATGTTATAAAAAGTAGGCGCATATGCTTTATCAGGTCGAGGAAACTATTTTCTGTGACGTCAGAATAAATTTACATGCTACACGAGGCACCCAACGTGACTGGTAAAGTGACCAATCAGCTGAATGAGTTGCATTATGGGTTACTACAAAAAATATTACATGTACGTTTCGAAAAAGCCAGTTTTTGAAATCGCTCTCGGAAAGACATGGTGCATTTTTCCAAGCATTTTACACACTTAGTATAATATGTACATCGTTATCTACTAGTTCCATGCTCACATTTACATAAAAATGTTTTACAACGGTAAAATTTGGGTTTTCTCCACTCCATTGTATAAGTCCGTTTGTTGACAATAGCCTGGCAGTTTTCCCGTGCTATACTATCTTTCAGTATGAATTTCACTTTTAATTTCTAGTAAACAAATAACAAAATAACAACGAATAACACCAGTAGCATGGCAAATTTACAGAATCTCAAGTTATAAAAACCGGGTTCTTATTTAATTGTGAAGACTGTGAGCGGTATTTAAAGTACTATTTTACACGGAAAATTGACTTTGATTGCTAATGTGAGCATGGAAAATCTTAATTAGTACCTATTCTTCATGTTTTTCACAAAAACATTAAAAATAATTATTAGTTGACTTTCCCGCAGTCATTTGAAATCGCGTCCTAAATTTGCCTGACCCACGTGTTTGTAGTAAAATATAAACATGTAGTATACCATCATGCTTTTCGGCTCATTCATTGGATTGGACGATTGCTCGCTGTAAGCACCTCTGTGCGCAATAACAACAATATCCATATATGGTAGATTCCTTGACCTGTTTATCCATTGGATAAACGACGCTCCCAAGACAGGGGACTCAGGTTTTATGGTCACCATGCTCATTCTGGGAAAGGATATCCTTATCCACCCATCCTATTGCCGAGATTTAGCCATTTCTGACAAATGGATTGTTCTTGTTATAAAAAATAACTTTCATGGTAAAAAATATAGGACTCGGAAAAATCTTTAAGCTTCTGTGAATAGAACGCTACGGAGCATGTCACCTGACCGCCTGGATCACGTGATTAGCGCATGGGCAGAACGGTGGCAGATATGCATTAAAATCGGACAGGACTGCTTTAAAAAATAATTAACACTGAAACCTTAAAAGCTTTTCTAGTTCTTTTATGGAAGCAATTCAATAAGTTTCCGAACTTTTTGATTACCACTCGTAACACGTATGAAATATTGAGATATTTTTTCTTACCTTTTAGGCAAAAAGTTGGTTGGAAAACATTTGGCTCTAGGCAAATGAAAAAGGGCATTTTTAGGCTGTTATCAATTTTTTCAAACAGTATCATTTCGAAATAAATCATTTCCCCAAAAGTTGTACCAGTTTTTCTGACAAGGAATGCATGCTTTGTAAGGACTTACTGGTAGAATCAGAAATACTTTTAAATCTCTAAGTCCACATTATTTGTCTCTTATTTGCAAATTTACACTTTAATAAAAACTCTTACTTTTTAGGCAAAAACATGTGTCCAAAAAAGAAAAATGGCCACATGTGCTTTTTATTTCCGCGACATCTTATTTTTTTTAATATATTTCTGAGGCATTTGGTCTCTATAAGCGAGACAAAATTTTTACGAATTCTGGTTATTGGTGTATATTATCTATACTAATAAAAATTTACGCGATAATGAAATTTTCGCGAGTAGACAGTATCGTGTAATAATGCAAAAATAAGTTCTCGCGATCAAAAAGTTATTTTAAGTACTGTTACTAAGTATGTAATTGCACTTGGGAATATAACATTTCAAGACATTAAAGAGCATGCAGCCATACCAAATGCCCAGAGAATCTAAAACGATAGTGCTTGCATCCAGGGAAAAATATGCTGTATTATACTGTTTTTGAGCTCTGAAGTATATTTAACGAAATTCTCTGTGTTTGCCTTTCTTATTTGGGTATGTGCTTTGAATTCTGTTTACTGTACATGGTAGCAACAGAACATACACGTTTCCCCATCTCCAAAACTACTTGATATTTTTATTGAAAGAATAATTTACCTTATTAAGACTTATATAATTTAACGATGTCACGCGATATGTTTTTGAGTGATATAATAAAATGCTTTTCTATCTATTACGTTTACCTATTTTTGTTAAATCTATATCAATTTATTAAAAGAAAATGTATATTAAGTTTCTAATAAGCCGGATGAATCTTTTTGACTGGTTTGATTTACTTTAGATTGTTTCCTTGTATTGAATGATATTAATTAAGGAATGTTTTTACAGTTTTGTGTAAATTATTAATGTGTAAATCACACAGACCTGTCTAGTAGGTCTGTGTGACGCTAGCGCTTCAAGAGAAATATGCCTACGTGCAAGTCTGTGTGATTTACACACCAATAATTCACACTTAATTTAAAAACATCCCTTTTATTAGCTCACCTGAGCTGAAAGCTCAAGTGGGCTTTTCTGATCACATTTTGTCCGGCGTCCGTCTGTCTGTCCGTCTGTCTGTCTGTCTGTCCTCTGTCTGTCCGTCTGTCTGTCTGTAAACTTTTCACATTTTCGACTTCTTCGCAAGAACCACTTGGCCAATTTCTACCAAACTTGCCACAAAGTATCCTTGGGTAAAGGGGATTCAAGTTTGTTCAAATGAAGGGCCACGCCCTCTTTCAAGGGGAGATAATTAGGGTTTAGTGAAAAAATAATGGCATCATTTAAAAATCTTCTTCTCAAGAACCGTAGGGCCAGGAAAGATGGAACTCATGTGGAAGCATCCTCAGGTAGTGTAGATTCAAGTTTGTTCAAATCATGACCCCCGGGGGTAGGGCGGGGCCACAATGGAGGATCAAATTTTTACATAGAAATATATAGGAAAAATCTTTAAAAATCTTCTTCTCAAGAACAGCAAAGCCATGATGAGCCATATTTATATGGAAGCATCCTCAGGTAGTGTAGATTCAAATTTGTTCAAACCATGACCCCTGGGGGTAGGGCGGGGCCACAATGGAGGATCAAAGTTTTACATAGAAATATATAGGAAAAATCTTTAAAAATCTTCTTCTCAAGAACAACAAAGTCATGATGAGTCATATTTATATGGAAGCATCCTCAGGTAGTGTAGATTCAAGTTTGTTCAAATCATGACCCCAGGGGGTAGGGCAGGGCCACAATGGAGGATCAAAGTTTTACATAGAAATATATACGAAAAATCTTTAAAAATCTTCTTCTCAAGAACAGCAAAGTCATGATGAGTCATATTTATATGAAAGCATCCTCAGGTAGTGTAGATTCAAGTTTGTTCAAATCATGACCCCCGGGGGTAGGGCGGGGCCACAATGGAGGATCAAAGTTTTACATAGAAATATATACGAAAAATCTCTTCTTCTCAAGAACAGCAAAGCCATGATGAGCCATATTTATATGGAAGCATCCTCAGGTAGTGTAGATTCAAGTTTGTTCAAATCATGACCCCCGGGGGTAGGGCTGGGCTGCAATGGACTATCAAAGTTGTACATAGAAATATATAGGAAAAATCTTCTTCTCAGGAACAGCAAAGCCCAGATGGTATATATTTATATGGAAGCATCCACAGGTAGTGTAGATTCAAATTTATTCAAATCATGACCCCCGGGGGTAGGGTGGGGCCACAATGAAGGATCAAAGTTTTACATAGAAATATATAGGAAAATTTTAAAAATCTTCTTCTCAGGAACAGCAAAGCCCTGATTGATGTATTATTATGTGGAAGCATCCTCAGGTAGTGTAGATTCTATTTTATTCAAATCATGACCCCCATGGGTAGGATGGGGCCACAATGGAGGATCAAAATTTTAAATAGAAATGTAAAGGAAAATATCTTCTGAAGAACTGCAAACCATGATTAGTCATTTTGATATGGAAACATATAGAAAAAATATTTTCTTCCCAAGAACAGGAAAGCTATGTTTAGTCATACTAATATGGAAGCATCCTCAGGTAGTGTGGATTCAAGTTCAAATGATGACCCCGGGATAGGGAGGAGCCACAATGGGGGATCAAATTTTTACAAAGGAATATATGGGAAAATTTTTTTTAAAATCTTCTCAAGAACAACAAAGCCATTTGTTATATTGACATGGAAGCATCATCAGGTAGTTTAAAATTCAAGCCCCCCCCCCCCTTCCCGGTAATCTTTTCAATACTGAACTGATTTGTGCTTTTGCCCAGCCAATGTGCTCAGGTGAGCGATGTGGCCCATGGGCCTCTTGTTTATATTTTACAATGTACATGTTAAAAAGCAACAAAATATACTCGATGTTTGAATTTCTCGCTGTCCTATATTGTTATATTTTTTATTAACGTCTCTGTAGCCACATTGTGACATCACTTTAGCACGAGTTTCTCCGTGTATATTTCTACGCGTGAGTATATACGAAAATGACATGTTCAAATCAATGTCATAGTTGGTTAAGTAAAAAAAAAAACACAGCAAATGTAAATATAAGTGTATGCAAACATCATTTTTTCCCCTTAAGTTGCATGTAAGATGGATAGCACTATTCAAATGGTTGATATCACCTAATCACCTTTTCGTTTTTGAATTTCTATTTGCATTTTTTACTATATTGAATAATAAGTGATCCCTCTTTCAAGACATTCTAGCTTAAAAAGAAAGATGGCATTCGCATAAAGGGGGAATACAGTGTCCATTCATTAAATGCACAGAAAAGAAAAGGGCCCATAGAACAACGATTTCCCATATGACAAACTAGATTTTTATTGACCCTAGGCAAATTCGGGCTGTCCTTTTCCCCTGTTATAGATTAAGGCAATTTGAAAACATCACATGTCATCAGTCCCTTTGAAATTTTGTATATTTCATTTGCAGTTAGTGTTGCTGTATTTATTGATACTATTTCTCTGTTTTTATTACAGGTATTTATGTTATTTACTTTCTGTATAAAATGCATGCATACATACAGTACATTATAGTCGGGGAGCTGTTGTTATTTCATATATAGATTGAATATGTTATAACACCTTTTCGAATAAGTAATATCAAATATTCAAAATAAAATATAATGTGATATCCATTCGTAAAAGTTATATCACTAAATCAAAAACTGAATACCTGATAAAAACTATTCGAATATGTGATATCACTTCATGGTAGTAAACAACAAACGCCTCCTTATATTCTTCCTTTATTGGTATACATACCGTATATAGAAGATTCAAGTTGCATTGAATTCAGAACAGCTTTTTCGGTTTTCAATATTCTGTAATTCTTGGAAAGTCAAAGCAAATTAATAGAAGCAGAAATCGCTCTCTAACCTGACGTGATTATAAAGACACAAATGATTTATTGAATTGTCAATTAGACGCATTGCCTTTTTGGTGAAAACAGAAAGGAAGGTTCATTAAGGGGTGCTAAAATTACTTGATATTTCTGGCAGTGTTATTGTGGTAAGGTAATTAAATATTCATATTGTAAATTTTACATCTCACTCAGATTCAGAGATTTACAGAGAAAACGACCCCTCATACCTTCATACAGTTGTTGCTGTTGCAATGGCAGTAATTCTAAGTGTCGGATCAATTTTAGCCATCATCGTCTTTTTTTTCAATGAGAGGTTAGTAATTTTAAAGTTATTGCATGCTCAAATATCTTTGGCCTGAAAATAATGGAAACAGCTCTTACGCTTTTCAGGAGAAAAGAAAAGTTTATGATAAAATAGTTATGCTTAATTTGAATAATTTGCTGGCCAATGTTCAAACGCTTCAAAAACTGTATATAATTTTATTATAATTAGCTATATTTAAACAAGTGCATGCCCCGCTATGGAGAGTATTCCTTTGCAAAAACCGGAATATTCTTAGATATGTTTCAAATTATTTTAATTAGTCAAACCTCGGTAACTCTTGACAAGTTCACCTCCAGTAATCACTTTTATGTACGAGAGTTAATGCACGCTATGGGCTGAAATTTAAGCAAATGTTTATTTATCATATTTAAGTACATCTTAATATTTTTAATTATTATAGGCAAAAATAAGGATTTTATTATACTTGAAAGTGCACAGGGTATGGCCCTATGGCGCATGACCAATAAATCAGGATTTTATCAGGAAATATGCGAGTATTATTTCGAAATAATTGTATTAAATAAATAAGGTTGGGGTAAATATTATTTAGCTATATTGTATTTAAAATATGGAAAGACACTGTCATTGCAGACTGTCAAAAAAACTGCCTATTTAGTTTAGTGAAAGTTAGAGTACCTTTCATAACTTATTAATACAGATTTTAATAAGGCCCCATATGTGTGCGAGATTGGCTTCTCGGCTGTTTATGGAGGAATAAAGGGAGTGTATGCGTGAGTAAAATTCCCGGAATTTAATTAACTGATGGCTTTCAACTTTTTTTAGCAACGCGTACGATATGAAACATGACGTTTCTTCAGACTTTTTGAGGTTATCATCCGTGCATCGTAAGGTACGGAAGTCGGTAGGTGCCAGGCAGAAAAATATTTTATCTGGCGGCCGCCAGATAATTATCTAGCGACTGCCACATAAATAACTGGCGGCCGCCAGAAACTTATCTGGCGGCCGCCAGAAAATTATTTGGCGGCCGCCAGATAATTTCTGGCAGCCGCCAGTTAACCTTCTGGCGGCCGCCAGATAGTATATGGCGGTCGCCAAATAATTATCTGGCAGCCGCCAGATAACTTTCTGGCGGCCGCCAGAAACTTATCTGGCGACCGCCAGATAAAATATTTTTTCTATTTTGGCACCAACTGGCTTCCGTAGTAAGGCGATACCACACATTACAGAATATCCCATATTTGTTTATTTGAGCATATAATTCTTTGAAATTTGCTAAGTATATTGATGAAAAATGTTCTAAAGAGTAGGGAATATTTTTAGAAAGCAGTGTTGATTATTTTTCACTTAAAACTACGTGTCCACGATTTTACTGGACAACCCTCGTATATGTATAATATGACTATATTCCAAAAATATACAAAAATAGCACACAACTTCACAAGAACAATTAAATCTAAATGTCCTAATACAATTTGAAAAAATTATACAGAGTATGATGATCCTTAGTATGATTTTTTTTTTCAATCTTGCCCTCAAGCTTGTTCACACAGCGTGCATGTTCTGCTACACATTAGGAAACTGTAATCCTTTCGCAACTTGTTGCGGGAGGGAATATATAGGTTCCATAACCAGCGCGAGTTAGCAACCAGTTTTTCTCAATCTCTCGTTCCTTTTTGTACACCGCTTTTGCGAAAGCGAGGGGACATTAAATCTCATTCGTCTGTCAATCCGTAAATCTGTCCGTCTGTCAGTCTGTCACAAAAACTCTTGGTCATAACATTTGAATGAGAAGAGATAGGGTTTCCATATTTCACATGTACATTACCTGTGACAAGATATTTCCAAATATACTATGATTTTTTCATCTCGTGACCTTGGCCTTCAAATTTGACCTATTTTTCTAAATTTTGACATAACTTAAAATTGGTCATAAAAATTTGAATGAGAAATGATAGAGCTTTCATATGACCTATGTACATTACCTGTGACAAGAACTTTCTAAATATATCATGGTTTTTGACCCCGTAACCTTGAAGTTTGACCTACTTTTCAAAAATATTATCTTTCTTTATAACGTTTGATTGAGGAAAAAATAGAGCTTTCATATTTGATATGTTTGACATGTGCATTACCTGTGACAAGATATTCCTGAGCATTTTTTTACCCCTTGACTTTGACCTTTATGTTTGACCTAATTTTCAAAAATTTTAAGTTTGGTGATTATTACCCGTGTCAAAATGTTTTCATATATGTCATGATATTTAAACCCCGTGACCTTCACTTTCAAGTTTGACCTAATTTTCAAACATTTTATCAGTGTAGCTAATTTTTGAGGGAGTGAAGATAGGGGATTCATATTTGACGTGTGAATTACCTTTGACAAGCATTTCCAAATGTACTTTGATTTTTAACCCCATGACCTTGAAGTTTGACCTAATTTTCAAAAAAATTAACATTGCTGATTACTTTTGATGGAGAGAAGATGGCATTTACATTTGATTCTATTTTTTCACATGTGCATTACTTGTGACAAGACCTTTCGAATTGTATTTATATTTGACCCCATGACCTTGAAGTTTGATGTAGATTTGAGAAGATATAATTTTTGCCATAACTGTTATTAATTCAATAATTTATGTCTTTTTGTATGATGCATAAATAATAATTAAACACATAAACAAGACAGTTACAATATACCATAAATAACGACTTCCAATCCACTTAGACACCGAAAGCGGGGGACCACGATTCTTTGAATTTGCTTGTTCTTTTTTTTTAATATGAGTGTCTCTTGAAATATGAAAAGATAAAGGAACCGGAGTTTGAGGAAAAAAACGGTCACTACCTCGCACCCCTTATAGATCCTTATAGATCCTGATTTTCCCATTATACTAACATTGGATTTATGTATTTTGGTAAAATAAACATGGCGCTTAAAAAGCAGCCAATAGGATCGTCGTAGGTATAAGCAGCCAATCAGAATTGCCTTAGTCGTTTCTTAAAATGTTTTGAACACGAAAACAGAACAACTGCGCAGGAGTGATGAAACACAGTTGATAATGGAGCACTTTAACACTTTGCGTCAAAGTCATCAAAATTCTCTAGATAAATTCTTCATGCTAAAAATAAAAAAAAAAAGAATTGGTTGTTCTAATATCGAAACATCTGACTTTACAGATTAAAGTTTCTACGCCAGTATCTGACAAGTAGTAAGTTCATGTATTCGCATAATATTGTTAAAATCAAACAAATAAAATTTGAAGAATTAATTTCCAAATTGAGAATTCATTTTTGAAACTTAACAAATAAAGGATTACATATTCACTGACCAATTTTTATTAAAATCTTTCAAAAAAATTTAAAATTTATTCTGAAGAAAAAAAAAATAAAAGCAATCTTTTACGAAGGAATAGGGACAAACTATGTTGGAAACGACAATTCAAGCCGTGAATCAGAGGAGCCGCAAGAGGACTACTCTCAGATGACAAGGGCCTCTAACAACTACAACATACTGAGCTTCAACAAAAGATTTAACGTAGTTTCTAGAATCAATGACACAGAGGAAGGCGAAATTTACGATCAAGGTTGCGTCGCTATTTCAAGTCAAACGGAAGAGTCTGAGGACAGTTATGTTTCCTTAGCACTGAGGCAGAACAAAGTGCTGTTTTCTGCAAATGCTATCAAGGAAGTCATCGACGGAAAACAGGAAAATGCAATCGCTGATAATACACGAGGCCTTAGGGATAGCTATATTACACTTGCACTGAATCCGAACAATTCTTCTAGAATTACAGGAAACATCGAGGAAAACACTGGAAAATATGCAAATCTAAAGACACAGACAGGATATTCAAATAGGGGCGATCGGGATATTTATGCAAATACTCTGCCAAAACTTCCTTTAAACTATTTTGTACTTGAAAATAACAAGTACAGTTCAAATGAGAAAAGAAGTCACATGAATGATACGTTATGACCTAAGAATTGGTATCATACAGAGAGGGGAGAGAGAGGGGGGTTGCTTTTGTATTATTTCGATACATTTTTCAATACTCAATCATTATAGGTGTTCTTTTTTGCGTGTTTTAAGCAGGAATATGTGGAGAGTGCATTGATACATTTTTTTCATGAGCGACAACAGTAACCTTTTTCTTTTGAAAATGTGAATGTTTTTTACAGAGAAATGTTCTTATCGATTCATGTAAAAATATCACGGGTTGCGCCTTCCGTCAGACGACAAAACGAAAATGTAAAAAGCAAGACAATATTTCTTTTACCGATTCTTCCTCATATTTTGCTGGGTTACGGTGTTAATTTACTTGACTTCCATAAATACCTGTTCATATGTTTCTTTTTAGAATGTTTTTCTGTACTTTTTTGCGCTTTGATATCCTCTGTAAAGAAATAGTCTTAAATTAAACGTTTCGTTTTACGCCTCTATAAAAATAAATGATGCAAAAACTTCAACGGATTGTATTGAATTAAAATTTGTTGGTCTACAAATGTAACTGGGTCTAACAAGTTATAAAAAGAAGGAGCCAATCAAATTATTCGATCACTCCAGGGCACAGACACTTTTAAAGATTGTTTCCTGTGACAGAAACCATACTTATTCTGAATTACAAAAAATCTTTGGTTGTTTTGTTTGGAAATAGGTACATGCTTCATAACCTGGTGTTGTTGGCACATAATTAAAATTAGTTATAACAATTGAACCTCAATTTAAATACTGTAAAATCACATTTTCGTGGAGTCAAATTTTCGTGGTTTTAGGAACAATTGTAATTCGTGGGGATTCAATTTCGTGTTGAAAGAAATGTTCATTTTATTTGTACTCTACTTGAAACATTTCCTGGAGGACATGAAATTGTAGGTCTCACCATACCACGAAAACAGCGAAAATGAAACCATTCCAAATTTAGTGATTTCGTACGACGCATCAAAAATTTGTATCCATCAGATTATTTCAAAAATGTTATGGTGCAAAACCGGACCTTTTTTGGCAATAATTATCGCAGTCAGTTATATTTCTGGAATTTTTTGATTAAAACAATTTGAAATTTGATTTTTAAAAAAAAATGAAGTAACATTCTTTCAGGTTTTCCATCATTGATTTTGAATAGTGTCAATCGAGAATTCTTGGGAAATGGTGTTTAAACATGTTGATATTTGCACTCAAATATTATAACTTCGTTCTGCTCTCTCATAAAATTTCTTAGGGGTATATATGTTTAATTATTCAATTAATATCGTTATAATGTTTATTTGCGTTGTTGATTGGATATTTCAATGTTTCCTAAGTATAGTTTACTGCTAATAACAAGGTTTTGCTTCTATATATATATATATATATATATATATATATATATATATATATATATATATATATATATATATATATATATATATATATATATCTTTTTTAAATGCATTAAACTTATTGAAGCAAAAAAGTAACAGAAAAAGTCTTTAATTTTGTAAATAAAAATATTACTGCAACATCTATGTAACAATATTTTCTGTCTAACAAATTTTTAAATCATTAGATTTCTGCATAAATGAGATTTGGAAATTGGTAGATAGATGGGAAAAGTAATAAAACAATGTTTTTAATTTTCTAAATAAGAATATTACTGCAACATCTATGTAACAATATTTTCTGTCTAACAAGTTTTTAAATCATTAGATTTCTGCATAAGTGAGATTTAGAAATTGCAGATAGATGTGAAAAGTAATAAAACAATGTCTTTAATTTTCTGAATAAGAATATTACTGCAACATCTATGTAACAGTATTTTCTGTCTAACAAGTTTTTAAATCATTAGATTTCTGCATAGATGTGAATTAGAAATTGGTAAATAGATATGAAATGTTAATCCGGCATGCAATTTTTAAAGTTATTTCCGAAATGTTAAGGTTATATGTTGTATTGACTATTGTTCATGTAAATTGTCATCATTTTCTTGTTTGTGGCTAATTATTTCTGACTAATGTCTACATTTTCATTTGCATATTGTCTTGCTGAGCAAATCTATCACAAAGCGTTTTAAAGTAAATTCAAACAATATTTTTTTCAACTCTTATATTATTTGCTCTGAAAAAACAAGCAATCGGTTATTAGCAATACACACGAGTATTAAGCAATAATTGCAAATGAAATACAAGAAGATAACAGTAATAGATCTCAAAAAACCTTAAAATAATACAAATTTCTGAACAGGACATAAAACAAAGACCCTTGAAAATTCCATAGTAGGGACCAGGTGCCTAAGAAGAGTAAGCATCCCCTGTCGACCGGTCACACCTGCCGTGAGCCCTATGTATTGATCAGTTAGACGGAGTAATCCGTAGTGAAATTTAGTATAAAAATAATTGCTTAACGATTGATATGAAATATGTCAGTCAAACATACGTCCCAGTATTAAGTTGTTACTGCTCACAAGGTCATTGTAACAACTTAAGATGTTATGAGGTTGTTGAAATCCCTATAACCTCGACTTATTTGTCAGTAGCCTGCCTCGGTTAAAAACTTGATCTTACTCAGAACATGCTCTTAAGTATCTAATAATTTGGGAGACATAAATACTATATGCATATGAAAGTAGAATATTACTAAATAAATTAAAGGGTTTGTTTGTAATTGAAAAGTTGGGAAGCAACAGTTGGGAAATATCTGTAGGAAATGCAGGGAGTAGACTTCATCTTCAAATATGGTGGAAGACTGAACGTTTTTATGATAAAGGATGTTACATATGTTCAAAGCATCTATGCCTTTATTGACAAATTTAAGTTCAAAGGAACAGAGGGTTGAATCAGATGTATTATCGTCCAACATACATGGTGGCTTAAAGAGCCTTTACTTGGCATCATCAGTAATCACAAACACTTGACTGTATTCTGCAAATGAAGAATCCTAGTATAGACTTGCTTTAGCTTCTTCAAATAGTCCATAAAAAATCAGTAGTAAAGTTAAGTGCGAATGTAATGAGGACTTAATTGTTTAATGACGTAAGGAAAAAATGAATCAAAAGATATGTCAAGTATATTTGGACAATTTTATGATTGATGCTTGAAAGGTTACCTACATTATTTATTTGGTCATTGCAACCATACGAAAATGCAGTGCCTTGTTTACTGATCCAAAATTCTTTTCGCTGTCTAAGGAATGGAGTACTTAAAGTGAGATTATTTGTTCGATGATATATTTTCCAAAAATTCTTACCCTCATTGAAAGGATAGAGTAGTCTAGCGAATTTAAATAATTATAAAGATGTTGATGGCCTCTATCTTTTATTTCAAACTAATGCCCCGACATTCTTGTATGAAGAGTGGACCGTTTGCTTCCCCCACTATAAATCGGTCCGCATAGAGTACATTCTATTTCATAGACAACTTTGGAAGTTTTACAATTCAAATATTTCCCAGTATTAATATACTTGATTGATTGTTGTTTTACGACCGATTTGAGAATTTTTCATTCAGAATTCATCAAAATTGTTACCGTATATCATTTTCATATAGAGACGTCATCATTCACCAGTCAAGGGCTTCAAATGAAGTTTGCCAACGCTCACAGTGACACGTGTATCAAAACTTGGATTTTAAGGTTAAAATATTTTCAAAAAATTGTAAAGGGTACACCAAAATATGATCTTCGTCATCAGTTTCTCTTGGCATCTGATGTTATTGTTTTCTCCTGATGCTTGAATTCGTAAGAGCTTTAAGTACGATCAATTTTTAAACCGAGGCTTGATGCTTACAGTAAATAGGCCATTATTTACACATTGAATTGTTTAGGGATTTTTCCGTTTTCCCGATCATGACAAGTAGCACACGGCGGATTTGACCGGTCGGCAGGGAATGCTTACTCCTCCATGGCACCTGATCCCAACTCTGATGTTTTCAGAGGTCCGAATTTGCTCTGCAGCTGATTTGTATTTTTTCTATGGACTTTTAAGCATGATTACTGTTCGTTATCTCCATATTTGATTACAAACAAGTTGATATTACAGGAATTTCAAAAAATCTCGTTAACAGTCAGCATTGTTAAAATGACCTTGTTTGCAATTACAACCTAATATCATTGTGTCGAATTTTATCTGACATGTTTCATACCAATGGTTAGGTCGTTTGTTTTACTAAATTGACTATGGATTCCTCAGTTTACCTAAAGGAAATAAGTGTAGGGCTCACTGATTATTGTTATGTATTACATTTATAAGATTCATTACTGTTCCTTATCGTAACTTTTATGTTTATTCAACAAGTTTAACTGACAGTTACTAAATCAACTGCAGAGTATACAATTTTATAATTTTTTGCCTCTATTTATCTTTCGTGAAATTATATGTTTCCTTATTAGACTTTCCTCCATTCACCTAAACATATTAATAGTCTATAGTGATATTTTAGGTACGAATGTCACTTTCATAATTTAAAGAAAACTTGAAAAAAAAACTTAATTAACTTTTAAGTACTACATGGGAAAAGATAGGAATTTGCATTAGGCTGGTAAATTATCTACCTTAACTAGTCTATGGACTAAGTTTTGTTTTGAACCCTATCTAAATATTTGAACCATCAATCACCATTGTTGCAACCACTAATGAAATACCGACCACTATACAATTATTTGGTTTTGAAATGCATTCTCAACCACTATTGAAATAATAATTTCAATAGTGAACGTTTATTTCAAGAGTGGTTGCAATCTGGTTCTGGTTTTGAAATGCATGCATTCTCAACCGCTGTTGAAATAATTATTTCAAAAGTGGTCGCTATTTCAATAGTGGTTGCAAAACACCATGGATCAGCCATAATAAGGTTAGGAAAATTAGCACATAGGCTAAAAATTGAAATTGGACTATATAAAAAAATACCTAAAGATGAACGAATTTTTACCTTTGTGATCACAATGAGGTTCAGGGTGAAATTCATTTTCTTCTTGTATACATGTCCTAATCTTATTGTATACAGACATGATGTTTGGAATAATTAATATAAAAGACTTCCGTCTCTATGTTATGATAGTCAATTACATTGGGTCATGACTAATGAAGACCCTGACATCTTAAGATCTCTTGCTAGATTCGTTGATAACGTTCCTTAATTGAAAAATTAAGTATATGTTTTGGGATGTGTGTATATGTATGCCAATATAATCTCTATTGTTCCTTGATATACATGTATGTCTATTTCAGCTACTTTACTTTACATTATTATAACATATACAACATGCATATTCAGTATATCTCTTGTATATGTATTTATCAATGAATATATAATTAAACATTGCTCTCGTTATTATATAAGATCATATTTATTCTATCATTTGATTCATCCTCCTATCTTTATTTGTAAATCTTGGTTGCTCTTCCGGGGGCTCAAATTGGACTAATAAAATTTGTATCTTGTATCTTTTACTCGGTTTTACCTCTTGTACATGTATATATTGTGTATGTAGAGAGGGAGAAATAGATACCTAGAAGAAGACACATGATATCCATTTCATGTCAAATAAATGGGATTGGAAGCTCGTCAGACACAAATACAAACTCCCTCATGCGTGTCTACAATGTAGGTTAATATTAATACTGCAGAAGTAAACAGGGATCCAGAGCATTATATTTGGTTAAAAAAAGTGTTATTGCTACCAAAAGTAGTTCAATTTTATTGATTGCAATATGTCTAAAGAAGAAGTCGTGCAGCGAGGAAACTGGAAAACGTGGTGGGAGTTTTTATTTTCTTCTGTCGGGTGTTTGGTTGGACTTGGTAACATATGGAGATTTCCTTATATTTGTTTCAAGAATGGAGGAGGTTTGTTGAAAATTAAGAAAACAGACTTATAGTTAACAATTTTAGAAGTTAATTTTATCAATTGAACTATCATTTATGTAATGAAGCCGAATAATAAGCACTGCTACCTGGAAGATGTTTATTTAATGTAAAATGGCATTCATTCCATGTATAACTTTATGTATGGAATGAAGCATGAAGATAAATAATAATAATACTTAATTATAAAGCAAAGTTACTGAAATAAATTTTAATTCATTCGTCTCTCTTTCTCAGAATCTACAATTCTTCAGGCATCTAATAGAAACAATATTTTTTCCTTATCCGTAACAAATATAGATTACTTCATATAATGTGAGTATCTGAGATTTTTTTTTTTTTTTTTTTTTTTTTTTTTTTTTACAAATTTTAAGTAATGACATAATAATATTTAAAAGTCAATGAAGAGAAAATACATGTATTGGCATACAAGTGAAGATGGTTTAAAAATTACTTCATTAACAGTTCCTTTTTTGAGTGTCATTCAGACGGGAAACAAGGCTTTCCCTTGCTTCGACAAAGAAATTGTTCTTCAGTTCTTTACCAAAAGAGTTTGAATTATGCTAGCAGTGCTTCATAGTTTTTTTAAATCCAAGAATTAATCTATGAGAGGGATTGCTTGTATTGGTTTTAGTTTTAACCAATGCACTGAAAGGTAATAATGGACTTATCACTAACATGGTCACGTCCTACTGTATTGTTTCATGCACTGCAGAAACTGTATCAAAATAGTTATTTTGATTGGTAAGTGTATCATGATTTAACTATACATAAAACTGTAGAAATTAAATCTAAATATACCACATGGTCAGGTATTCTGGTCACGTGTATAAATGGACCGGATGATATTTAAGAAGAGTAATCTTGACCCTACCTGTAAAGCAATGATAATTTGGGTTTTCATCACGACATTGGATGCCTTCTTGATGGTCTGGGAATCAGATATCATGTCGCTTTTATAGAAGATGGTCGGTCGGTTGTGTAAAGTATTCAGACACCGCCAACAGAACTATGTATCTTGATGAAAATAAAGGAAACATTAAGTTGTTGAATATCTTACTGAATTATTTTGCCCATGCCTTGAATGTGACTAGAGCATATTCGTCTTCTGTTCTTCTACTTTTTTTGGTCCCGCTGTCCTTCCAACTATCCGTTTGTCGTCGTCCAACTTTACGTTTATCTCAGTTTCAAAGACACTCCTCAGGGTATTTTCAATAAACATCTTTACTGGTATATTATGATTTTGATACATATTCAATTCTGTCAAAACTTTTGACCTTGCCCTAATGTCCGATGTTGTCACTTTCTACTCATTTCGCATGGCTGTTTCCGACTCATTCTGAGGATAACAAATAAATTTTGAATTGTCTTTAAGAAACTATCCTTAGACATCAAAGTTTTATCATTTCCAGGCTATTTCCAAACCACATAATTTTTATCCAACATAAAATCAAATTATAACTAATATTTCAATAGATCATCTGACAGAGACTTCTAATGTTCAAATCGATTCCAAAAAGTTCTACGTCAAAATATTAATAACGACAAGAAATGGAAAATCACATCTGATGGATCTGTTTGCAAACCGTTTGGTCGTACTTTAAAGTGTTAGACTCTCCGGTAACATTACTTTACTGTTTTATTTAAACTTTCACATTTTTCACTCTTTACAGAGTATTTCTCTTAGGAGTTTATGTCAAATGAAATATAAGGGCTGTATTTACATCATTCTAAGGGAATATAATCTTGGGTCAGTGAAACTGGAAGAAGGGAACTAGTAGGATCATTCATTAATCCATGCCGGACTCAATATTCCAAACATAGTGAAACTTGTATATTGGGGCCGCTTCTCATGCAGTAAAGATTCAGTCATCTATCGCAGAATGGGATCCCAATTAAGTATTATATTAAAAAAAACATCGTTGCCTTAAAAAGTCTTTTCAAGAACCAATTATAACCTTGATATCAAAGTATCTATATGAAATAAACATGCTCATTGTTCACATCACAAATGAATGATGGAGCCATGATCAGTTTTTGAGAGTCACAAAAAGGACTTTAATAACCCTCTTCCCATATAGTATAGATAAGGTTTGTTAAAATCAGAATCCCATTGGCAAGAGGTGAAGCTAAAGAACGAGTTCAAAATATTACTTAAAACTAAATAGATTAAGTATTGAGTTCTACCTAAAAATAAATCTCCAATTTTACACGTGTCTCACCTTCCTAAAGAAGTATCAATGAAGGAATAAATAAGCAGAAAAATATTAAATTGAATTTTTTGCAAGAAGCAAGCTTTCGAAGTCTGCTTGGATTTGCATTCGGTTGATTGACTTTCATGTATTCCCTTTGAGAGCCATTTTTCGCTATGAACGTTGATCTGCTTCTGCTTCTGCTGATATATGAATTTGATTTTAGAAATCAAGAAAAATTATGAAATTATACTTTTAAAATTTTCAAATCACAATAAAGACAACAGTTTTATGACAAATGTTTATCTTATTGATAGTATCACACAGTTACATACCAAATCATTCCAAATTATGATATTTAATACTAATATAGAAAAGAGTTTTTTTATGAATTCAAGAAACCCAAAAGAGATTTGCTTTTAGTGGGTACTTTTCCCAATCCTATTGGTTCGTATCACTTAGTATTAGACTGTACAGTTGTTTTCATACTTTTGCAATTACTATTTACTTCAAAGGTTGTATCTTTATTCGTTTTTCACTCGGGTTTTAAAAAAATCTATATCCTTGAATCAAATGTTTTGCAACAAATTATGAACATATCAAAATATTACTACTATAGTATATAATTCTACTCTGCCTTGTGATTCAGGGATGTCCTTCAGCATTTCAATATTCATTGTAAAGGTGTTTAGTTTCTTCATCATATGAGAATATCATTGACTTTTAGGTGCATTCCTGATTCCATATTTTATATTCATGTTCCTATGTGCGATGCCAATGATGTTCTTGGAAATGACTTTTTCCCAGTATTCTAATCTAGGACCTGGAAGAGTTTGGATTTGTTGTCCGCTACTAAAAGGTACAACAACAGAGAATATTTAAATTTCACTATTTTATTTCTGCATGTTATAAAATTCGTTTTGTTAATATTGAATAAATGTTAAGACTTCCGGGATGTGTAATTATATTTTTAACTGAAATAGTCAATATCAGTCTCTGTATTTATTTAGTAAACTCTGCTACAAACTGAATCAAACTATTAGAAGCCTAGCTTTTTCTACAGATACAAAGTATTCAGACATAAGAAATATTGAAATTTTCTTAGGAATAGGACATGGAATGGTCGTGTTGACGGGAATTGTAAGTACATACTACAACGTCATCTTGGCCTGGGCACTGTATTATTTTGGAATGTCTTTCTTCCCCAAACTTCCATGGACCAGTTGTGACAACGCCTGGAATACTGAGTTCTGTGATCTGCGAGAGATGAATTCGAGTTTGCCAAACTCCACGCTATTTATTGAAGATGATAATGTTAACATCTCACTGCGTTCTTCTGCGGAGGAATTCTGGGCGTAAGTGTTACAATAAATAGAATATACATTTGAATTAAGATTACAAAAATATTATTTCAGAATAAGGATTAATACAGTCTACATTTATCAAAGAATTTGTTTATATATTATTGTGTATTCTAAAGATATTTGATAGATATATTTCTTTGAAATACATTGTAAGTTTCAACATTTGATATACTTCGAATAGTATATCTAAAGAGTTCCCGGAAAAAAGTGTCTGGAATTGCGGAAGTAATTATCGACAGATCACATAAATGATATATTTAGTAAGGAGATTATAAATCAGAGTGATATTTAAGCATGTGCTTATTGCTTTGAATAGTCGACTCTTAAGAAGTTTTCATTCAAAGTTTCAATAACGGAAACAATCTTGTCAGTTTAATTGTGCCTTAAATGTTAAAATCACTCTCTGGGAAAGAGATTGATACAATTATCTCAAGCGATACATTGAGTATACTTATTTAAAAAGGATATACACAACTTTATTTTTTAATTAAAAATGAAGAGAAGACGACAGGTGTTACTTTTAAATGGTGCTTAAAATTCGGGTCCATTGTTTAAGTATCTGCTTAATACAGAAACTTAATAACACGCCATGAAACGTTGAACTTTTCTAATTTAAAAGGGATGTTTGAATTGAATTGAAAATGAAAGGAATACAACAGGTGTTGACAGCGCTTATAATCGTGGTTCATAGTTTCAAGTTCAACTTAAACCCTTAATTATGGCTTATTATATGGCATTTGGTAAAAATGACGACTAACAAATTTTGTCATATTGTTTTAACAATGTATACGGTATATACATGTTTCTTACACGAGTGTTTTGTGCATCTCTCTCTCTCTCTCTCTCTCTCTCTCTCTCTCAATAAAAAACCTGCTTTTGAGAAAAAGCAGAGTTTAACTTACGTCAGGCCTTTCGGAATTGACATCATTTGTAGAAATGAAAATTTTTGTTTGTTCAAAGATGATTAAGTATTTTCTGATATATCTTGGCTATATATTATTCGCTATAAGATCGAGAATGATTTTAACTAGGGATGGCATTGATTAACCGGTTAACCAACTAATCGGTCAGAAAAATAGTAATCGGTTGCAAATTTCATAACCGTTTAGTCGATATTTTTGCAGTAAATGTACACGTTCAGTAATATTTCCGTATTTTATAATTAAACGTCTTTAGTGGCATTTTAAAAACTGAAATGCGGCAGTTGATCAGTTTTAAAAATTATTTAGAAGACGCCGCTGTTGTCAAAAAATATCTCCTCAATTTAATTAATGTACATGTACAATGTAACTCTGAATACTAATCAAGGTTTACGTACCCTCATGCAAAAAACTATCTGCTTTTGTTCCAATTGATGCGTTAAAAACAACAACTAAATTTATACTCAGCAATGTTTATATATATATTTAACTGGGTTATTTCACTTGTTCATTAAATCATTGCAAAACTGTAAATTTATTCAGCGAAATGCTACCGACATCTACAGATTGGCAATGTTTTTAGAGAGACCGGAACGGCAAAACAGGAGTACAAAAACATATAAGACCAAGCAATCACAAATTCGTAGAATAAAAACAGAATATAAGGCGGCTTGTTTCTTATGGTACACTAGTTCACACAACTTTCAATATTATCAGTAAAGTATCTTGCAATACCATCAGTACGATTTCTTGAGAAAAAGTTGAAGTTGGCAGTCATCATCCGCGGTCAATGATTATCTTTTAAAGTAAGAATAGCAGAGGTTTGAATTAATGTCGGTAAAAATATGATTTGACTCTGCAGTAAATAACGAAATAAACGTAAAATCATCTTAATATCTTTTTGTTAGTTCTTTTAAAAGGTAATTAAAGAATTCTGTTGATCGTAATTTTGCATTTATTTTTAAAAATTGCATTAAGATAATAAGTAAAATGAAATATGAAGATAACCAACAGTAGTAATCAATCTCAAAAGATCATTGAAACAGTACAAATTTTGAGCAAAGCAAATACGGACCTCTAAAAACATCAAAGGTGGGATCAGGAGCCATGGAGGAGTAAGCATCCCCTGCCAACCGTTCACACCCGCCGTGTGCTCCTTGTAATGATCGGGCAAACGGAAAAATCCGTACACAAACTAGTTGGAAAATAATGGCTGAACAATTTGTATGAAAAACGTCGGTCAGCATTTTACCTAATGATAGATTGTATTGCTGACAAGATCATTGTATTGACCATAGAACTTGCGAAATGTTGACTTTAAACGAGACTGTTGATAATCTGTCTATGCCAAAATCCTGAACTTTAATTTATCGTGGGGAATTCATAATAAAATTACAAACAAGTTTTATATGTTCAGTTAACCGGTAACTCGGTCAGAAAAAATTACGTCTAACCATTTACAAAATGTTATCCGATTGCCATCCCTAATTGTAACACTTTTTTGGTTAATCTTTTACTGGCCCCCTTTCATAAAAAGGGACATCTGTGTCATATACATGTATTAACATTGTGATCTCTCCTGTTGATATTTACCTGAGATAGTTGGATAATTACTAAAAAAAAAATCGAAGTAGGTAATTTGATATACATATAAAATTCGATACGAGCGCCCTGCAACACAGATGAAATGTTTCAAGGCTAGGGCACAACCATACCGCCACTACCTGTATTTTAACAAGGGTATTATAACCCCTCTGCTACAATTGATAGGACATCCTGTTCTCATTTATTGAATACAATATTTTTGATTCAAAAATTACAATTTAGAAGATATTTTTTTAAATAAATCTGATTTTTCAAAAGCAATTTGAACTTCAATTTTTAATCTCTTTGTTTCGTACATCAACATAGAGAAGATGATTTTATTTACTCAATGTTTTGATAAGCATCATACGCCAAAATTAATGATAATATCAGAATTTTTAACGTTACATATGGAACATACTTTTTTAATAGAAAGTTTCATAATCACAAACTATATTTATTGTATTTCAATAGACAAAACAAATTATATATGCATGCAAAATATCCAGGCTAATTGATTTAAACCTTCAGAAATTATTACATACGTAGAAATATATAAAATAAATTAAGGTGTATTTGTTACCAGTTACCAGGAAAAAATATTTATTGAAACAGAGAAAAAAAGATCTACGACATGGTACAATTCTAAAGAGAGAGTTAATCGGTAATTGTGCAGTTATAAAATAAATATTAAACTCTGCTGAATGCATATTGGTGTCGTTTCAATTTAAATTTCCAAACAATATTTTTATCAGAAGAATATTGCAGACTTCAATTTGCTTACCTCTATTTATTTACTTTTCTTTTGAAAGCAACAGGAAAGGTCATGAGGCAAAATTGTGATGTCGTTTCATAAAAGTAATTCTAGTATTTAGATGTGCTGTTTATATTTATTTACATGACGATGTTGGAGAATATTTTCGGTATTATTTTATTTTTTACAGGCAAAGATTAAGATACGAAAGCCCAGAAGGCTCATTCGAGATTCGAGTTTCGAAATACGAGATTCGAAATTCGAGTTTCGAGATTCAAGATCCAAACTAACCAATTAAAAGGCGGTTTTTATAAGATTCAATTACTCCCCTTTGCTAAGTTTTGACCTCCTAGAAATCGTTGAATAAATTCAAACCGAAGAGGTCATTTGATTAAAATTACAATGCAAGAAATAGTGTTATATATATCAGAACGAAATTAGAAAAAATATTGGGTTTTTGGTCTGCAAAATATGCTTAAATTTATTATATCTTCTTAAATATTATAATAGATTTATATCAAGAATATCTATACCGTATTATCTACTTTGCTTACAGGTTTGATGTCAAAATAATAAATATTGTTAATCGGATTCAAAGAGCAAAAGGGGGGGGGGGTATTGTAGTCGATGGGAATTATTAGTGTGCAATAAAAGAAGTGACAAGCGATTATTAAATAATTAATAGTAATACGGGTTTCAAAGTGGATATAGTTTGTGACAAGGTATTAGAAAGTGAACAGTGACTAATACGGGTTTCAAAGTTAAGTGTGCAATAAAATAAGTGACTAGCGATTAATAATAATTAGTGAATACGGGTTTCAAAGTGGATATAGTTTGTGACAAGGTATTAGAAAGTGACCAGTGACCAAGTTTGTGAAACCAAGAGACAGCCCCTTAAGTAGGGATAGCTGAAATATACATGCTTAATAAAAGTAATGACTTCTCTTTGTTCAGGAAATAATTTTAATTAATCACTGCAAAGCACCCCCCCCCCCTTTCCAAAAAATAGCAACAGGGGGTTATCACGGTTATTAGACGTTATTTTGGAGAGGACACAAGCATAAAGTTGCTATGTTTTCTATAGTATATTATATCGGTTAACAACATAAGGGGAATGTGTGTGTGTGGGGGGGGGGGGTAGAGACACGTGCCCGGGGTCCTATGGCTATGTTGTTTATTTTATTACAACGTTAGACAAATGTTCGGTTATCAACATTCAGTGTCAATCTTGCAATGCATGGGTAAAATAATTATATATTCGATTTCGATAATTATTTATAAGGAAACCGCTCGGGTCTCGCAAGATACATAACCAATCAATACACAAGTTTCAATACATGATGTAATGGCCATACAGAAAAAAAGATATGAAAGTATTTGATAATGATAAAAAATTATAATTATTTTAACAAAACAATGGACCCTCTATACACCTTTAGAACTTTGAAAAAATCGTATGGCCTAAAGCAGTTCGTATTAAAATTACTTATAGTTCATGTATGCCTTTTAGTGTACACAGGAAATCTTAAAGACATCGTAGTAGTGATAAAAAATCGCGTTCGCTTTCCCAGTGGTGTATATTCCATATAGGCGAAAAGGCTGTAGCCTATACATCATTTTCTTGATGTAAAAAAAAAATTATTTATACATGTACATTGTATTTGGTTGAAAAATGGGGTAAAGTTGATCATAAAACTTATTTATTTACCAGTTACTAGAATATTTTTTATCAAACGCAATAAAAGTTTTAGCAATCCACACTTTTTTGCCTATCCAATTTTTACAGTATACACAACTTTTGATTTTTATAGCTGGTTAAATCTAAAATTGAAATGTTACTTTGAAGTCGATATCAGACTATTAAAAATGATAGCAACAGGAGTCTACGATTAGGACAGGGAATAGAAATTAGGAAACATGTCTGGGTTAGTAGGAAGTCAAACATATATTCAGATTATTCAGTAAAGAAGTTTCCATAATTTCCAGGTACTGTGTAAGGATTTTACAATTTCTCAATTTTATTAAGAGTGGTCATGAAGATTTTAATTTCTGCATCATTAAAATATGTTTAAATGATTTATGATTATATTCACTTGATAAATGACAATGATAGATGTCTCCAAGACAATAAAAATGTATCAGTCGAAAACGATATATTTAAAAACAGCTTATAGATACAAAAGAGTTACATTATTGATAACATACAGTGCATATTAGAATACAAAAATAGGAGAAAGGTGACTCGACCACAGATTTAAAAAGAAAAAAAAATGGAAAAGGGGGGGGGGGGTCCATACCCCAAGTGCCTGTGATCCGCAACTCGGCAATGATGCGCTTTAGGTGAAATCTGTGACTTCACATTACCCTACACATTAGCAGAAGGGAATATACACCACTGTTTCCCAATAGGAGAAATACATAAAAAATTAAGTTTTCAATTACTTATCTTGGTCTAAGGCTTTGAATACTTGAATTAATTAAAAATTATATGTACAATACAGACTGGAATTTATTTTATTCCATATCAAATAGTAGATCAGTCTAACTGCTCAAACGCACCCTTAAAAGTAATGAAATGTATCCTTAATGAAATTACTGTGCAGTGTAAAGACGATCCTTAGTATTTCATATCAATAATAATTTTCGCCCTCATCCATGTGCTAATTAAATAATTTATCGACCTACTAATAAAGCATTTCAACTATAAGACCATATAATATTCTATAGATGTATCTATTGTGTTGTTTAATGGGGAAAATAAGATTTTATACACATTTTTCAAAACGTGACCCAAAATTCATTTTTATATTGTTTTGATACATATAACATTTTTTCTTGCATTATTATTTAAGCAAATGACCCATTTGTTATAAATATATTCAGTGATTTCTTGATAGTAATAACTTAATAAAGGGAAGTAATCAAACATTGAATCCGCCTTTTGATTGGTTAGTTTGGACAATGAATCTCGAAACTCGAATTTCGAATCTCGTATTTCGAAACTCGAATCTCGAATGAGCCTTCTGGGATTTCGTATTAAGAGTACTATGCTTTATACACTTTTGAATGAAATTGGCACCTAAAAAATTGATATATTTTCTGAACATTTCAGGCGAAATGTCCTTGACATCTCTGATGGCATTGGGAACCCTGGGAGTATTCGCTGGCAGCTTCTCTTGTGTCTACTGGCTGCTTGGTTAGCTGTGTTTCTGTGTTTATTCAAAGGAATCAAAACTTCCGGAAAGGTATAAAAAGAGTATCTTTAGCTCTGTATTATACATGTATCAGTTTTCAGAATTTAAATACTGTAAATAATTTTTTTCTTTCTTGAAGTATTACAAAATTATGCGAAAACAGATTTCTTGCAAACGCGATTTACATGTTCATATAGGAATAGAAATCAACTGCATTAAGTAATTTTGAGAGAGAGGTTCTCTTTAATGTAGCCAATACAGCTATTTAAAAAAATCATTCATTTATCTGAGAGTCTTCTTTCATTGATTAATGCAGTTTTGACGATTCCTCTTTCATGATTAACCTTTTTGTTCATATACTAAAAACGATAATGTTTTATCAAACAACATGGCTTTGAACTGGTATTAAGGAAATTCTCTACTACAAGAAAAGGTTGTTACTCATCGTTAAAAATCCTGCACGAGTGGACCATGTTAAACTTATTAATTTGAGAAATAAGATACTAAATAAATATTTTATATTTTTACAGGTTGTATACGTGGCTGCCACTGTGCCGTACCTATTCCTATTGACTTTGTTTATAAGAGGTTTGACATTTAATATTGATGGAGCAATGAAAGGTTTAGGCGTGTTTCTGATACCTCGATGGGAAGACCTGCTTAGATTCAATGTAAAATACTTATGATTATGTTTAAATCTAATGTAATATTTAGTGTTACATACATGTAATTAGTGTTACATAACTCATACATTTCGTGAAAAACATGAAATACACCTGAAACCTAAACCTAGCATGCTTTTGTAAACTAATTAAAAGAATGTTTTGGAAATATATACATGTATACTACTACTAAACAAAGGCGTAAGGAAAAGATATTATGAAATCTGAATTGTGCAATTTTAGCGAAGTTTTAGTTACTATTATTATTATTCATGATAAATAATTTACTTTGTAGTACTTAGTTGCTCCCTTTTTTGAAAAAGTAACAGCCTTCATACAAATAGGCATGTTATTTTTTCAATTTTTCACAGACGTTACTTTAATTGAGTATCTAAATTTCTGCTGAAGGTTCTACATGTACCACGTGTCTTTTTTAGCCGTTGGCATGTTTTTTCCTCATATTCCACCCCAAAATTCCCTAAATTGCTTAGGATGGTGTATCAATCGGAATTGTTTCCTGTACGCAATAATAGAACATGCATTGCGTTTGAGAAACTTTATTTTGCACATCAGATAATACAGAAAGATGACTGTACCATTTGTATTCGCCACAAAATCATTTCCTTGTATGCCGTAACTCATAAAGCACGGAAAAGTTTGTGGAGCTTTATTGTCCTAAATCAATCCTGATTCAAACATTCAAAAATAAAAACATTTGGGGTCAAATAAAAAAGACCGTACCCTATTCAACAAATGCTTACATCCTATAAATTAAAAATATGTGGAAAACTATCTAGCGAGAACGGTGCTCAATTCCAAAAAATAGTCCTAAGAGTGAGAAAATGATTCATAACATGCCTAATTGCATTATGAATCGTTATTCGTTCAAAGAAGGGAGCAAGTTCATCTAAATACTACAAGGTAAACAATGAACTATGAATATAAGAACTGAAACAAAATTCTTCATATTTTTTTTTTGTCTGCGCCTTTGCTCAGTAACAACATCTTTATTTCCAAAAAGGTGCATTTAACTAATTCACAATCGCATGTTACAGTGTAGGTTAAAAAGTTCTTTGAGATGTATGTAATAAATTTAGTTTTTTTTAATTTAAAAATGAAATTTTTCCATACAATATACTTTGACTTTTAGATTAAGTTAAATTAAGATTTTCTATCCATTGTTTATCTCGTCCACTTTGCACTTCTGAAAGACCTGTTTTTTTACATAGCATTTGTTGCAAAAGGGGAATTTGTGTCCCGTAGAGCTTTAAATATGGTACCAAAAGCACCAATATTGATGCAATATTCAAAAATCTTTTCATGTGGACTTTTATCACACAGGCATATCGACCGACGCACCCTCTGTTAAATTGTGAAATTGATGTCTCTAGAACCAGAAACCATGCTATGAGCTAAACAGGCAATATTAGTAATCACTATTGGGCAGTGGCAAATAAAAATAGTACTTAACCAAACTTCTAAAATTCATATCACCAGGTAGCAAAGTTTAGGTCATTTTTAAATCTTAGGAATGAAATATGGAGATATCGAACCGTATTCAAGCTCAAAGTCCATTAAAACAATACAAATCGGGAGCAGAGCAAACACAGACCTCCAAAAACATCAGAGATGGCATGGAGTAAGCATCCCCTGCCGACCGGTCTCACCCGCCGTGTGCTCCTTGTCATGATCGGGAAATAACGAAAATTAGCCTAACAATCAGTATGAAAAACGTCAGTCAGCATTTGACTTTAATGATAGATTGAATTTGCTAACAATGTCATTGTATCGACCATAGAACTTACGAAATGATGGCTTTAAACGAGACTCTTGTTTCATTGCAGTTATCATATGCATGTTGTAAATTTTGCATTTACCTCCCCCTAGTAAATTCAAAATTTACAACATGATAATTATTATTATGAACGATGAGCATTCTAGAAAAGTCTGGAAATTCAAGTCTCATAGTGCAAAATAAAACTACATGATAGAACTGATTTGATAAAATAAAATATAAAAAAACTCACTGCCAAGAATTGCTACAAAGAAATGTTGACAAGATATCAGATCCTGAGTTTTCATGAAGTCTACTTCGGCTGTACATGTCCAATGCACTGATCATGATTTCATCTCCAAATAATAAGAATACTAGAAGAAATCTTTATGTCTTGGTTACTTCTCTCGGTTAGGTGTGGTGTGATGCTGCAGTACAGATGTTTTACTCTGCTGGACTAGGATGGGGAGGCATTTCTACCTTGGCAAGCTATAATTCCTTTAATAACAACGTTTTCAGGTGAATACATTATCTCGTTACTTTCATTTAAGCCAACAAATTGAATTATAATTTTCTTGAGCACTCATTACTTTTATCTTTACACACTCAAAATAACGTAAAATAACGTCGGAAAATTTTGAATTGTACTCAATATGATGCACAAATTTCTTTTGGAGTAATTTGTGTGAAATACGACGGACAAACCAAAAATCCAACCAAGCAAACTACGAATTACATAATTATGCCAACTGATGCATATTCTTTTGACGACTAAAGTTCATATTTTAAAAAAAAAAAATTAAAAAAAAAAAAAAAAAAAAAAAAAGGTTTCAGGTTAAAAGCAAAGTCACCTGTGAATTTATCTGAAACGTCTTTGTAATTTTTTGTCTAGTTTTCCAGAATAACCAAGTCTATTTTCATTGTTTCATCATTGAGAACAAAACAATTGAAAATACAGTTTGAGAGAATGGGGGGATATTTTCAAAATTAGTACAGTCTTTTTCACTGTTTCACACAGAGACGCCATGATCCTTCCTGTTGTTGACGTATTGACGAGCGTTTTTGCCGGATGTGTGGTATTCGTGACGCTGGGTTTCATGGCCGACGAAGCCGGTGTTTCTATTGATAAAGTTGTTAACAGCGGTAATATTTGTGACGTTGATAATCGATTTTTCTCACCTAAAAAGTTTCACTATGATAATATTTTGACGGTGCGACCGCTAGGGTGGGCGCAGATACCTATTCCATGTTTTCAGTTTACTGTTTATAAACTGTATTTAGACCGGTATTTTCAAACCGCACGTGACATTTGGTATGTCACCATCTGACGTCACATGACGTCGTAATTAGGTTGTATTTAGGTTGATTTTAATAAAGAACGTTTTATTTACTATTTTATCTGCAATTTATCCATTAAATCAAGGCGAGTTTATTTGTTGAATGTTTGTTGTTATTCTCGCAAGAACGTACAGTACCAACCAGACCCAACCTGACACCTAAGCAGTCCCAGAAAGTAGTCCCCGGGACTGCTTTGGGACCGCTCTGGGACTGCTGTGGGACTGCTCTGGGACCGCTGTGGGACTGCTCTGGGACTGCTCTAGAAAGCAGACCCAGCAGTCCCTGGGACTGCTTTCTGGGACTGCTTTGTTCACTCATGCATGAAAAAGGTTCTGAGTGACATGATAGCTCCGCCCCTTGTGTATTCTGAATTTGCAGGCTCCCTGTTGTTGTTTTGTTTACTTTCAGCAGAGAGGTGTTCAAGATAAAGAATAAAAAAAACAAGGATTTTTTTTACAACATTTTAATAAGTAGAGATAAATATACATGTAATTACTAAATATCTTCAGGGGCTGTAAATTTACACAATTGTAGTTTAGAATTAATTTTAAAAAATGAAAGTAGTTAAAAGGGAAGTAAGGAGATGACTTTTATCCTTTAAATTAAACTTTAATACAGGTGTTTGAAAAAAAAATATATCTAGGCCTATTTAATTAATTAATGCTAATTAAAACTTTAATACAGGTGTTTGAAAAAAAAAATATCGAGGCCTATTTAATTAATTAATGCTGTCAAGTTACGGAATGTACTCAAAGTTTGCCTTAGCACTATTTAAAAACAAACAAACAAACAAAAGAACAAACAAACTTGTCATTACAATAAGACATTCAGAGGGACGTACTGTACTGGATTTTTTTTAAATTGAAAAAACTAAAACCATATGCATGCTAAAAAAGAGCATTCCATGCTATTTTTTACCACCCTCAAATAAAACCTAATAATTTATTAAATGACCATGAAATAAAATTATTCTACCATTCTTCAGTCATTTAAAACATTATATTTGTGAACAATTACTGGGGGATTTATTTATGAATTCGTTTTTGATTTATAAACAAGTAATTAAAAGAGTAAATTTATAAACATTTTAAAATATTGGGAATTGTGACTTATTTCTTATTTGTTTTGTTTGTGTTTTCCTGGCCGATTATTAAAAAGCAATACAAATGTATAAAATAGTGTCAACACCTGAAGTTTCAATCGCCTTCGGGCATGATTAGCAGAAAGTCAATGCATGTTATTTGGGTATCTGTGTTACACATCACTGAACATGCTGGTCAACAATGACACTAATTTCAATCTATGTACTGCAAAAAATCTTCGTTTCAATAAATGTGTATAAATTTATTTCGGGATTAATTAATTTTGAACATAATCTGAGGGTTCCATTCGTGTGATTTACAGATGTACACTCAAACGTTTATATAATAAAAGTATTATTGTTTTCTGTTACATAGATAATTTAACGATAATTAAATTGGCAAGTCAGTGAAAATAATCATGACTGAAATATAATACACAAAGAATTTTTCAAAAGCTCCAGTATACTTAAGAAAACTGCATTCAGAGTATAGTATGGAAATCGGCCTTGCTCTATAATTATAAGGCCTATTAAAAAGCTATGTTTGATAGAAAATAAATAACTCAAGCTTAATTACCTATAAAAAAAAAAAATAAAAAAATAAATAAATATGGAAACAAATATCAATCACAGTAATTTAGAAATTGATTTAATTTGGTGAAAAATTAATATACCACAAAACTGTGTTTAAATATTCATGTTATTTATAGGTGTGAACGTCTTCTTTGTTCAATATTTATTATTTGTTTCTATACGCGTAGTGTGATTTTCTTAACAGTTAAAAAATGACTGTCGCATGAGAATTGATACTGCTCAGAAAGAAATGGATCATCAATTTCAACTGCCTTTTATAGTTACATTGTTTATTGGTAATCTCATTTCTGAGTAAGCTCCGCCCATTAAATTAATTAACCCCACCCACTGGGACTGCTGGGACTGCTTTCTGGGACTGCTGGGACTGCTTTCTGGGACCGCTGGGACTGCTGGGATTGCTCTGGGACCGCTGTGGGACTGCTCTGGGACTGCTTTGTGTCAGGTTGGGTCTGGTTGGTACTGTAGCTTTAACAAACATGCATTGTGGGTTCAGAGTTACTGCGAAAAAAAAATCATTTGGATCAATGTCCAAAGTACGAATTTTCTCTTCGCCCAGGCTTTGCTTTAAGCGCTCCCAGTGACGAGCTCGCTGCGCTCGCTAATAATTTCAAATATTGAATATCTTTGATTTGAGATAAAGGATAACAACGTAATTAGATTTGTCTCTTACTTTATATTAAAAACATCATTTAATGATCTTATTCAAAATGTTAAGATTAGGACTAATAAAAAAAAACTTAAGATATTTAAGTACAACGTCATTCAAATAACTGATTTTTTATTGCTCCTTTTAGGACCTGGAATAGCTTTCATTGTGTACCCCGAGGCAGTCTCTAAACTCCCTCTCCCTCAGCTCTGGGCCGTTCTTTTCTTCATCATGCTTTTCACAGTTGGACTTGACAGTCAGGTAAGAAAACTATGAAAGCATACCAAAATAGTTCTCTACTTTTTTTAATCAACAAATGCACAGTAGCAACATATTTGCAATACAGTGTATATGAAGGATAGACCAGCAAACGTGAATAAGATTATCGGAGAAGAGTAAACAGCATTGACAAAACATAAGCAAACAAAAAATTACATTTCTTACAAAGTAATATTACTGTACCAACACTGTATTCCATGCACCAGTGTCACCAGGGGGTCGTAACATAAAGGGTTCTTAAGTCTAAGACCATGCTTAAGTAGGACTGTCGTAGCCATAAGACCGTAATTTGAAGCATGCTAAGACATGACAATCTTAGCAAAAACTTAGTCGGCCGGTAGAGGTGACTTACGTATGTCTTAACTTTTTATACACATATTTAGAACTATCAAATGTTGAATCTCGTTGTTAAAACATTCCTCTACTCACATTAAGCATTAAAGAAAAATAAATATCTATATTATATACAGTTACAGGAATTTTTGTTTTAGTAGTAAAATTCAGCAGAATGTTACTTGCAAATTTTTATTGGCATCTTTTTCATTTTAGATGGTACATATTCAAACCTTGACAGGTGCTCTACATGACAACTTTCCAAAAGCTTTAAACAAGTGGAAAACTTCATTAACTGGGATACTCTGTTTTATTGGTTTCTTGCTTGGAATACCATGCATTACGCAGGTATATATGTTAAGGCAGCTATTAGTATATAAATTAGTATTCGTGTAGTGAGTGGCATATTTCGCATAGTTACTTATGAATAATGAGAAAATGCATTTTACACTATGCAAATTTAAACAACACAAGAAAGTGATTTGGTGATATCTTGAAAATTAGCCATTTGGTACTTAACAAAAATTGGGGAGAGAAAATAATTGTCAACATTATTCTTTAGAGCTTTGAAACTTTGTTTCTAGTAATTTTAATGTGAATAACCTTTTTTGAAGGATTGAAATTTGTAGTAATTTTTTAAATGATCAAATCATTCTCTTCTCAGATGAAATCTTCACAAGATCCTTATTTATTTCTCCTCACTTTATTCTACAATCGTGTCTCTTTGTGTTTAACTTTCTTTTGTTACTTAAAAACCAGACGATTATGATAATTAGGTCACACTTCATTCCCGTTAGGAGTCAATGTTTATATCACTGTCATTAGATTTTTATAGTTTAGAAAAAAAATAAAAGGTTAAGCAAGTAAAATTCATGTGTAAGACAAACTTTGAACTAATTAGTGTTTGTTATAATGTTGTTAACTATGTATTTGACAAAAGTTAAGAAACATGATATTAAGGAGACGTAAAAGATAGAGAAAGAATATTGTAAAAAAAATATGTTTTTTTATTCGAGAAGTACTTAGTAATTAACAAAACTTTATTGAATGTTAGCTAATTGCGAAAACTCTATGTAAGAAATACGCATTGGTACAGACGTTAGGTTATCATATCTTAAATTAATTGCAGTGTTTAGGGAATTCCAAGAAGGAACTAATTTAAGCATTTTTCCGACCTTGCCTTTGTTTTTAGAAATTAATATTTTCCTTTGTTTCCACCAGGGTGGTATATATGTCTTAACCCTTATTGATTGGTATTGTGCCAGTGTGTCTGTAATGCTGTTGACACTTCTAGAAGTGACGTCATTGGCCTGGTTCTATGGTAATGATTTTGTGTTGATATACTTTTGTTGATAGTTTGATTAAAAGAATAAGTTGACATATAAATTTATTGAAATTATTAAAGTATAGGTGCACAATTGTATGAGCAAAGGGCAGAACACTCTATGTTCGGTTTACCAGAATTATATCTTTGTCATTCAGATCTTGGACTCAAGTGAGTTTTCCTTTTTGAACATTTTCTGTGAGCTTTTCTTTTATCTGCATGTTTTTTAAACGCGTCCTTTGAAGCACTATAATTATCATTTTAGGCTTTTTAATAGTACAGATTCCGTAGTTTAGTTTTTCAAATTGCATGTTGTCGAACAGTATTGTATTCGTCATCCGTTCGTGGAAAGTTGATTTGCATCAGAATAGAATTTTCTAAATATGACGTAAATTTTAGTTTCAAGAGGACATGTTCCTTGTTCTTTTTTTTTTATCATTTCCCATCCTTTTTCAAGAAAATTCATGAATATGAGTCCAGCCCCCTCGTGAATCCTATGTACCCATACCAAAATGTTTAATTTAGTTCTATATTGACCCATTATTCTCAAACAATATGCAAATACATATCACTGCTTTGATATTTTTTTCCAAATAATTTTAGAAATAATAAATATTTGATTTCTTTAATTGTTACCAATCCATTATACTTCAAAGGTGTGGAAAGAATTTACAAGGACTTGGAAATGATGATCGGGTATAAACCAACACCGTTATGGAAGATTATGTGGTTATTCATAACTCCTTTGGTGATATTGGTAAGATTGTCTTCTTATAATGAGAATACGTTTACAAAGAGACCATTTTATGGAAGAACTCAACTGTCATCGTAAAGTGGATAGTAATCCTCTTATCATGATTTTTCTTCATTATACATGTATGCTGATACTTTGTCTCTTTATGTCAATACCCCTTCATTATATGATGATATTCCTACTTATAGATTTTTCATTATATACTGATATTTTTTTCATTATATGCTGATAGTTTTTATTGTATACATATATTTCTTCAATCCATGCAGGTACTTTGTGTTAGCATCTTAATACATCTTCATTATATGATAAAACTTTATTGATTATATAATGTTACTTTGATATTATATACTGATTCTTTGATTTTATGTGCTGCTACCCCTTCTTTCTATGATGATACTTCTTTCTATGATGATACTTTATAATGTTATCATTATTTGTCATTTTTTGATGGAATTTATAAGATTTGTAGAAATATTTAAATCACAAACTTCCGTAAAGCAGGAGATGGGCTCATTTCAACACAAGTTGGGAAAATGTTGCTGTTGCTGCAAAATGATTATGAACATTCTTAAAGGAAGTACACCAGATGTTCTTTGTAAGTTGTCTGTCCAAGAATCGTTGGTTACTACTATTAAAAAAAGGAAGTTGATGAACATTTATGTATACTTGACTTGATTGCTTTTACTGGTCAGTGAGCGCTCTTTAATGCAGAATTACGCCTTTTAATAAATAGAGTAAAAGTGAGGTTTTCGAAATAAATGAAGATATCCTTGAAACAGAGATTAGAGATCAACAGAAGATATTTTTTTTCTGCGAGGTGAAAATATTTTGAGATCAATTGATTCTAAGCTTCATAACTTCGGCTTTATTTGAATAATACATTCTTGGACAGAGAGCTTACAAACAATATATCTGGTGTTTTCCCTTTAAAATATTCATAAGGGTGTTTGCTTTTATATATTTCAACAAATTATCATAAATTATACCGGGAAAATAACAAATATCTTAGGTATAAAGTATCATAATGTAATAAAGTATCAGTATATAATGCAACTGCATTGGCATAAAATGAAGAGGAATCGGTATATATGTCAAAGTATAGCTTATTAGCTTCCTATGGCACCTGATTCCTCTTCTAATTTTTTATGAGTTCTGTGTTTGTTCTGCTCACAATTCGTGTTGTTTTAATGGACTTTTGGTCTTGGATACTGTTTGTTGACGACATATTTCATTAGCATGTAAAGGCAAAGTATCAGCATATAATGAAGAGCATCCTATTAACTTGAGCGTTATTCACATCGGGCCTTTGATCGAAACATTGCATACGATTCAATAGTAAACACATTTAGATATATTTGTTTCTTTTATCCAACCTTTAAATACAACCTGGCAGTGTAGTCAATTGTGTACGCGTTGTAATGACTACAGGTAGATGCTGCATTGGGTTTTTTTTTCGTTATAGCTTATCTGGATTGTCAGTTTAATTCGTTATTCGCCGGTAGAGTATGGCGATTACAAGTATCCATCTTACGCTATTGGGATAGGATGGATGATAGCCATTTTATCGTTAGTGTCAATACCCGTAGGAATGGTAACGACACTCTTAAACACGGGGGATAACTCGACACCTCTTCTGCAAGTAAGTTCTCAATCAATAACAACCATGTTTTTACACAAATCAACGGTGTTTTAGAATAGAATAATAATTGAGGAATTTTTGAATTCCCCTTGTTTAAGCCAAATATTTTCGCAATAAAAATATTTTTATGATTTTTACAAGGAGAGAGCATGCAAAGACTTTGCCCGTTTCCCAGTCCTTATTGAATTATTCAGTAAAATATGTTTAAATCTTTATAATTTTTTACTTAAGATTCCTACAATGGTTTTAAAGGTGACACCCAGTAAATCTTTAAATCTTGTACATTGACAGAGACTAAGATTTTCGTTACAACATACTGAAGACTGGAAACCTGCAGTGCAGTCTCTCCCTGGGGACGTAGAGATGAGGAAAACGCTTATTTAATTCCAATACAAATACATGTATCAACTTGTACACATTTCATATGCATTTTATATACATGTATCTGTCATATGAGACTAAACATTTATTTCATGTATTTTATTTTTGAGTTGGAGGATGTTAAATAATTTTTTTGTAAAAATAAAACGATTAATTGTTGTGAAAATAAAAAGCAACACAATATCAAAAAAATACTTTATTCAATAAATATTAGAGAATTAACAAGCGGGGTGATATTTGATATTGTGGTAACAATTTATTAAGGTGTGTTTTCCAACATGCAAGTATTTCTAGTGGTGCGTGCAGTGTGTGTGCACTGTGCACAAATACTGAAGTGTACAAATTTAATTCATAAAGCACCATACATTAACTAATAGATGATTTGCAAAAAAACACACAAACAAACAAAACTAAACACATTCCAACATCTTGTACACAACACCCATTTAACAACCTTTAACACGAACTCTACTTTCCACTTAATTAATAATTTAAAAGTCAACAATAACTCACAAACACCAGACATACGTATATATTTCCTAAATTAAGAATCATAATACAAATCTTTCAATTTCACATAATTTAGCTAGCTTGCATATCACATTTTCAAAGCCAAACATAACAATATCAAAATATGACTAGCTTTACAATAAAAAAAATTCTAAAAGAAAACAAAAACACAGATCGTTAAGTCCGCGCACTTGTTTTGAAAGTGAATGGATCTTGCAAAGGCATTTTAAGATACATTTTTAACTTTTTGCTCCATTTGCATAATTCAAAACTACATTATCTTATCTTGGAACAAAAGTAGATTAAGATTTGTAACATATATACTAAATGTAATTTGTTGAAATGATAAATATATTATGCCTTGCAATAAATAATATCACAATTCATGCAGTATTTGCATGAAAATACAGATATCATAAGCGGGATTTGAAATTAAGTGTCTGACATTTAAGCGAACTATTTGCATAGAAATTTTTTTCACTTATGTTGAGAGATAAAAAAAAACTACACAGATACCTTGGCTATTTTAAAACTTGTCGTTAAGACTGTTCTGTTTGGACGATAACTCTGTTAGACACTTGACATTCGCCCCTTTGATTACACCCTAGAATTAGAAATTCATACTCCGTGCTTGCCTGTAAGCCAAATACCCTGTGGTCTTGCCTTCCATACAGAGAGAGTGTTCTCCAAGCTCGGCTCTGACCCCGAGGGCGATAAAGCAGAAAGTGAGAAATGTGTTGTTCAGCGGCGATATCCTGCGGACTTGAACTGTATATCTGCACAGACGTTGCAAACTGCCGACAAAGGCTTTCAACAATCACAGGTGCTAAATTAAGTAAGATCATTAAGTAAGTATAATTCATTTAAATAATGTCTTACTACACTGTGAGCTTTTAGATACTGTGTTTTATGTTAATTGTACTATAATTTCTCTCTAAGTAACCAAATGAGCAACAAAAACGTATATCACTAATCACAACATTGCATAATTAAACAATAATTATATTGGGAATTCATTAACAAACCTGGAATGACACTTTCTCCTGGCAGTAATGTAGTACATTGAACAACCTCCGAGTTGGCACTTCTTCCGGCCTGATTGCTAGCACTTACACAAAAATAGTATGTTGTTGCTTTGCAAAGATTTTCAACTAATACTACAACCACTCCTGAACAATTTGGTACATTTTTTGCAGCAAGTCTGTCCTCAGGAACATTTTTGACGATCAATGTATCCTGCAATTGTACATGTTTATTTGTCATCTAAATTTGTTAACATTCAAAATTCAAGAATCCTCCTGAAATCATTACAGTTTGCAGGGTTGTATTAACTGCTTTACTACTATTTAGTCTTGAATCTTTTCAATAATCATTTGATGTACATTATCTTGCCCAATAAGCGAATCTCATTAAAAATACTTGTCCAAAATCATTGTTGAAATGCAACTAAACGAATACAACCTTTTGGTTATAGTTTTTCACTATTTGGAAAAGATTAAAAATCATTTAATCTGTATTATCAATTGAGATGATATTTTGTGGTATATGTAGATCAGTGATTTCATACCTCGATTTCAAGGCTCTTTTGTTCCTCAGAGCAATAGTGAATTTGGTACTTGTCTATGACGTCATGTGAGTGTCTGGGAGGGGAGAGCACTAACACGACTGTGTCCTCACTCCTGGAGCACCGCGTGACGTCAACGCTTGGTGTAACAGGAGCTAAAAGAACAAATCATGTTGTAATCTGAGAATTACCTCAGTTAAAGCTAGCAGGTTGAGGATAAGTTTTGCAAAAAGTATTTCACAGATTAGCTTAACACATGTGTCATATATATATAGGACTAAGACGATCAAACATAGTACCAAGTAGATAATTCATGTCTCTTATGATATTCCTTTCCTTTCTGAAATCTACAAGTTTTCCCGGCAAGACGTCACAATCTGCAGGCTGAAACTGTGCAGTTTCACAGTCAATGGTGGCCTTCACAAGTCTGCAAATTTAATAAGACAATTTATAGAAAAAATAGGTGTTTTTAAGTTAGGCCAAAAGGGAGTTTTTTTCCTAATCTAAAATATTCTTGTGCTTACTTTTAGCCATATTGCAGAGTTTAATTTATAAATTGAAATATATCCGAGAGGATGTATCCTTTGATCACGTTCATTCAATTATGTCTAGAATATAGGATACTTACTTTTCACTTAACGTATTTGCCACCTGGAATAAGAAAATAATTTTATATGAGGTAAAATTTCATTGTCTACATGCTTTACATATTAGGTTTAACACGTATGAGTCGGTAAACATATGTGTAACCTGACTCTGTTTGTCCCTCAAACACTTGTAATCCAGAGACTGTTGACATTACAGATTTTATTACCACACTCAAATGATCTTGTTTCTTTTTAATTTCACTTGAGAACATAATGGTGACTCAAAAGATCGAGGATGACGTGAATATTTTGATTTAGTTTTAGAAAAGGGAATGTGCAAGCTGCACTGTATGTCAGTGTTTTAGAAAACTGGTCACTGCATTACATCACCGTTATTTAAAGCAAGAACGGGAAGTAATGGCCCACACAAATTAAAATACATTACAATCAATAGATAAAATGATGGAATAGGACGTACTCAGAATATTGGTATAGCAAAGACAATATGAAGATTTTAACACCAGAACTAATCCAGAAATACTTGGATATGAAAATGGATGCTTTTGTTCTTGTTTTCTCTAGGATGAGGAGATAAGAATGAATTATTTCAGACCACCTGATGTATTCAAATTATATACAATGTACGCACCTCTAGAAATTCACTGACGTCCTCGTTAAGCACCTCTGATGTGTAACTATACAATGCTTGAGAAGATCCTAAGATCCGCTCCATCACTTTTATTAGTTCTTCCTGCTCATTTTGACGAATGCGTTCCTCGTACTCCAGGTCTGCGAGGAAGAAATTTCTCTTGTTTTCAATTTCAGCCAAAAGCATGTCACACTGTGCGTTGATTTCGCTTCTCTTTCTGTCTATCTTTTGCTAAGATAATTGGAAAAAATCAGGCAGTTTTTAAAATCAAGCCATGTAATTATAACGACTTTCTATGAATTTCGTAAATATGGAAAAAAATTCTTTTGAAAATACGCTTACCTGCATTTCTTTTAAATTATCTCTCTGATTCTGTAGAGCTGTTGTGACTTTATCCTGACTGCTGCCTAATTTTTGAAGATTTTTATCAATTGAAGCCTAAAAGAAGAAAAAAATTCTTCTGAAATAATTTTGTTTTGATTAATAGAAAGTGCATGCTTCAATTACTTCGAAAAGGGTAGCAACACACCTTAATGTCTGTATATGCGTCTTCTACAGTGATCATGAAATGACCTTTATGAAGACTGGAATCTTTGCAGGCCATACAGGTTGGAACGCAACATTCTTTGCAATACAAAGAAAGTTGGTCTGCGTGAGTTGTGCACATACCATTCACAGACCGATTAAGATCATCTCGAGGGGACACCAATTCATGGGTATTGAAAGGATCCTTCTTCTGATGTGTGAGGAGAAGGCAGTTGGAACAGTAAGACACGTTACAATCTAGGCAAGACTTTTTAGCTTTTTTCTTCGCTACATTACAAAGTTGGCATAGCACTGACTGTTCCGTTCCCGTATCAGAATGACTAGAGATGGAAGTATCTAGTAGTGAGGCATCTTGAGTCTTTTCTTGCTGATTGCTATTTTCCTTCGAGCTTCTGTCCGCTTTGTAACGTTCTATGATATTTTCTAGAGCAATGACTCTCGGCAAACTAGAGATCCCGCCACTCACGTAACAATTGTCTCGACAAACTGGACATCGTATGAAGTTGAAATCAAACAGATGTTCTGCGCATGGAGATCTGCAGAGTACGTGGGAGCATGGAAGAATAATGGGGTATGAAAATAGTTCCAAGCAGATTGGACACTGAAGATCGCTGTCCACTTCCATCTTGGGTTTGACTGGACACTTTGATGGGGCCACACGGACGTGCTCAAAAGCGTGGTTCCCGTTGGTTGCAACAACGTTCACTGGACTAAAGACGAATCCTTCTCCAAATTCCTGAAAGTAATATGGAACCAATTCAGAAATACCCAATGAGAATTCCACTTACAACTGACTGTTTAAAATTAAAGAAGAAAATCCTTTGAATCCGAGAAACTGCATATAAGTCAGTGTGGTTTTATCACGGACAGATTAAGAATAAATTCCATACCCGATATGAAATGGAAGTTATTATGAATGTACTTTGTCAACAAAACCGCCATACAGATACCTAATGTAACCTCCATTTATTAGTTTAATTACTCATCCCACATGACAAGGTACACAATGCATCTAGAGTAATGTTTTCCTGTGTGTAAACATAGATCCATTAAGCACAAATTTTCCGCATGTTGAACAAAAAAATGGGTTCGTCTTAATCCGCCATTTCTTCTACCCAAGAAAGATTATGAAGGAGAATTCAAATTTACCTTCTCAATATCAGCCAGTAATTTGGCGGCATCTTGAATTCATGTTTGTGCAGCAATCACCGATGCAACACAAGATCAATAATTAAAGTTTTCTCAATAAACTTTTTTCTTTCTTTGTGAAAGAGTCCCGGGAAATTAAAACCAGACGATCGATAGCAGTTTTTCCCTGTGCAGGATGCTAGATGTATATTTAATCTCTACAGTGAGTCCAGAACAGTTTCTATGTTTGCTTTCCTAGTTGCAAATGAACAAACTCTGATAAGGTTGAAAAACTTCAACTATTGCTTTACTTTTCAAACACACTCTCCTGTAAATAATCTAATCAATATGCTGACACCCAAGTTTGAATTCATGAACAGGGTTAATTTTTCGAGGACCTATTTTGGCAGAGACTGAATTGGTAGACGGAATTCCGAATCACAACCGTAGCTCCGTGTATTCTTAGCTTTCAATCGCTATTTTAGCCACACGTATTCAATAAGTTTATATGACTGTCGTTTGGCAGAACGGTAAGACTTTAATCTGGTGTAAAAAGAGATTTTTCATCAAAGGCTGTATGGATTAATCTTATTACGACGACAAAACTTTTTCTAAGCATTTTTTTCTTTTTTCGACACCGCTTGTGTCAGCAAAAGTTTAAAAAACACACATTTTCTTTTCATATGTGCAATGTTTGCTTTATCGTTCATTCACTGGTCTACAAATAAAAATGACTTCAGTCATCCCGTTAAACGTAATATTTATAACCTCTAGAGAGTGCTTATGTAATTGATGGCAAAAGTGATCAATTTTACTACCAATTTGCATTGGGTTTATCATAAGCTTTTATTTTTCTTACAATGTTTGACAATTTAGATTACAAAACATAATTAATCAAGTTTTTCTAGAGAGATGTTATTGTTGTCAATATTTTTATTTTAAAAAAAACAGGGGGTACACGCAAATAAGAAATAAAAAAAAATAAATCAATAATTTTTAAGTCTAATGTTAAAAATGTCAAAGTATTTCATTTATTAACAAAATGCATCTTGAGTAACTCCTTGGGACTCTATAAATATGCATAATAAACAGTTCTAACAGCTTGGGTTCATAAGAGTAACAAAATTAACAAAGTCCTACCTGCCTGCAGAAAACTTGCGGGTATATGACTGATCGATCATGGTAAGTACATTTTATACCTGTACACCCCGTAAAATTGTTAAACTCTTCATCTCCAAGAAAGAATCAAGAAGTCGTCAAGAAGGGCAAATACAGTAACAAAAGCTTTATAGATAAGGCAGGGGTTTGATAGGAGCACGGCTTATTGTAAAGCAAACTCCATTCAAAATCTCAAGGAGCGAGTAATAAAGTTTTATCTTCGGAAATGCTATCAAAATGATTAACTACTAGTGTTTCTTTTGTGTTAGGAAACAATCGTAAGTTAGATTGTTTAAATTTGCTTATTGATATACAAGGGTTTTTGCAAAGAACAGGGACCTGGAATTTTGCTCTCTAGAAAAAAAATTACTAAAGGCATAATTACGTTTAATTCTTTGTTTGAATTGATGTTTACCCTGAAAAACACGATTCCTTGTTTCAGAATGATAGACAAAAAAGGAACATATATTTTGAAAAAAATGTAACCAGAATGAAACGTTTCGATTGCATTCTGCATATATTTTAAAAAAATCTTTTTCTTTACATGAATATCCATTTTCATAGTAATAAAATGCATGTAAGTGTGGTTTGTAGTATTCTCGCCTACCTGATACTTCTACGACAAGTTAGACCAACAAGATCTCATTCAGACTAAAATCTGGTATTCGCAGCGATTATCTTTAACAATAAGTGTTGATAATCAATCCCTGAGTAAACAAAAATTAAACTCCTACCTCAATCATTTCTCTGCCTTCTACCCCGGCAAAGGAAAGTAAATCTCCATGTTACATCCTCTAAGGTTTATCATTAATAATTAAATTATTCAGGAATATTCAACCAAAATATGTCATCGAAGGAGTTCAGTTCCCTCTCTTTCATATACATGCAAAATCTCGTTAAATATCACGTACAGGTGAAAGTTTATACATTGTTATTGTGTTCGCCATCGATTAAGTAAAAGGGATCAAGAAGGCATGCAATTTTCTTTGTCCTGCTCAGTGTGGAGAACTTTAAATCTATTCTTTTTTGCAAGTTTAAAACAAGAGCATTTATTTTTTTGTACAATTGATACTTATTTATTAACGAAGTTCTACAATATCCTTGAAACATGGTACATTTGCAGCATACTTCCCACGACAGACCCTCTTTATATTTAGAGAACTTTATGGTATTTTATGGGCATTAAACTTGGTTCATTTAACCCAAGCTACTTAAAGCAATGAATACATCAAAATGCATGGCACATAGCGCGTAACAATAGAAAACAACCTAGGACCGTCTACCTTTTATATTTCTTTTAAATGACTAAACAGCAAAGAAGATTAAATATTAAACGTTGGAATAGGTCCCCAAAATCAAATATTCCATTTGCTTTTAATTTCACACAATATACCATTCATTGATTTCAATCGTGTAGATATAAATGAGAATTTACCAGGACGTTTGCATTGATTTCTCAATTAAATATAAACCATTTCTTTGATCGATTTTTTATTTATTGTTGATTTATACCGCATTGGAACATTTATTTTCCTCATTTTTGAAGGCAATGCATTTTTGGCTCGCTACGAATTATGTAAACCTATCCTTAGTTGCCGCTTATCTTTACTGTACTCACGACTTTCAAAAAAAAATTTCAATAAAATTAACCAAAAACTAGTCCAAAAATAAAAAGAAATAAATTAGAATGTGACTGAAGTTCGAGGCAAGGCTAATCTTTGTCATCAAGGGTTAAATTTTCTCAGACGGATATAGACGGTCTGTTCCTTGGTAATCTTTTATCAATTAAATTTAATATTTTTACGCGAACAAATTGCAGTTGGTACCCTGTTTCAGATTATATGATGTATACAACTGTTTGAGAACTATAGACAATAATGATATAATCACTATAAACTTATGACGACACCCTTAATCATGCTAAAAATCATACTCACCCTGTTCATCATTGCAATATGCCTCATCATCTTAAGCAATTAACCTTAATTATATTCTAGTCGTTTTGACTCTATAAAGTTTACGTGTGTAGGTCATATTGATTCCCGAAAGGATAATATACTTAAAGAATCGCTGTGACATTTAAGGATATAAGTCCCTCCATTATCCCGTAATGGATACATTGTTTGTACAAACATCCAAGTTAGAACGTAAATGTCTTTATCATAGGTCGCCTATTTGCAGATTAGGAACAAATTGAGTATGAAATGTTTTGAAAGAATATAGGAAGAATTTCAAACATGTCATGCACTTAAGGCGGCTTGCTTCAATCTCGTTGACTTAATGTATTAGAGGGAGACATTTTCTGGTGAGAAAAGCGGAGAAAGGGTAGTGTTCTTTATATGTCAGTCTTAGGGATTGGACAGATTCGGAAATAAAACAATCCCGCTAGTAGACATAATCTCATATATATATATATATATATATATATATATATATATATATATATATATATATATATATATATATATATATATATATGAATATATCTCACATTTGAAAGAATTTAGTTGTATTAAATTGCATTCCATGTTTATTTCTTACCTATGAAAAAGTGCATAATGCAGCTTTAAACATGTGGGCCTTACTTTAATTTTTGTGAACTGTTAATGTATTGGCAGTGTATTGATATCAGAGTCCTTGAAATTATTTTAGATGTATGTATATATTTTTCATAATTAGTTATTGTTGTTATCCAGATTCTTTACAGTTTATTCATTTCTCTCTTTTAAAAGTGTTGTCATCGAATAATGAAAAACAGAAAATATGATTAACATGAAAGATTTATCAAAGTTACTGTGAGCAAAAACTTTTTCCAGACAATGGCGTTGGAGAAAATGAACACATTATTGAACAATCCAGTAGACAGTTACATTTATGGCTTCACTTTTAGTCTGATGGCAGTTGGAATAATCATATTTCAGCTACTTATAAAAAAGCTTGCAACAGATAAAATATTTTGAAATAATAAAAAATACACTTTTTAAAATAAAAATACTTTAATAAAGATATGGTGCATGTATATTAGGCTTTCACTATCGTAGAATACGCAGATGTGGTATGGAATAATTGTCCATTGTATCAGAGATTAATAAATCACATATTATTTTACAAGATCTATATTTCATGATATTAACCTATCTCTGCGAATTATTGCAGCTTTTTCAACCAGTACAGCATTCTTACAGATTGAGATCAGACAGAAATAATCTTTCTCTACCATTATGTAAAACTGTATCTTACTATAATAGTTTAATTTCCTCAACTATAAAACTGTGGAACATTCTTAGATCATATGTAAAAATGTCATCTTAAAACTAATCGACCTTCTAGTAGCTGTACATATTTTAATTGTGGTAACAGAAAAGAGATTATCCCGCTTCAGACAAATTTGTACATTACTAATTGGATAAAAGCTAACGCCCTGAAATTTTCCATATTACATCTCCGTCCAGGGTTAATAATAATATGTTGACGGTGCGACCGTTAGGGCGAGCGCAGATACCTTGTGACGGTAGGTACATATTGTCGCCGACAACAATATGTACAAAACAACAATATGTACCGTCATATACCTTTTCAGTGTACTGTTTATAAACTGTATTTAGACCCGACTCTTCAAACCGCGCGTGACATTTGGTGCGTCTAGACTCTGACGTATGTAAGTTGCATTACCAAACCGAAGCCTGAACAGTGCAGATTTTAATGAATTACGTTTTATTTACTTTTTATAAGCAAAATATCCACTAGGTCTAAATCAAGGAGTGTTTATTTTTGTTGAATTTTTGTTGTTATTCTCGCGAGAACGTACCTTTACAAGCGATGCATTGTGGGTCCAGAAATTACTGCGGAAAAAAATCATTTGGATCAATGTGCACGTCCGAATTTTCTCTTCGCCCAGGCGTTGTCGTTAGAGCTCGCATTGCAAGCGGCGCTTCGCGCCGCTCGCTGTACACGCTACTAAGTATGTTGACGGTGCAACCGTTAGGGTGAGCGCAGATACCTATTCAGTTTTAATTTACATCCGTCTCTTCAAACCGCACGTGACATTTGGTACGTATAAACTCTGATGTCACATGGCGTCTGTGTAAGAACAGTGCTATTTTAGTGAAGTATGTTTTTAATTTACTGTTTTTCTGCAATATCCATAAAATCAATGTGATTTTTTTTGTTGAAATTTTGTTGCTACCTCGAGAACGTACTTTGCGGCGAGATACAATTCGCAAAGCAATATGGGACCACAGGTAACTGAGCAAAAAATTCATTTGGATCAATGTGCAAATTCCGAATTTTCTCTTCAGGCGTTGCTTTAAGAGCTTGCAGTTACGAGCGGCGCTTCGCGCCGCTCGTTGCGCTCGCTATTAAATCGCGATTCCGTTCGTTATTGTAAATAAAAATGGCGGCTAAGAAACGGTTGGTGTATGTTTTTGTTATGATATTTTATGTAGATTAATATGTTGACGGTGCGACCGTTGGGGCGAGCGCAGTTCTTCACTTTATGTTAGACTGTGACGTACCATGACGTCGCATGTTGGCTGCATTTCCATAAATGAAGTTTGAAAAGTGCAAAATTTTAACAAAGAACGTTTAATCCACTATCTCTATGCATTAAATTACTTAATAATAAGGTGAGTTTATTTTTTGTGAATTTTTAGTTGTTGTTACCGAGAGAACGAAGTTAGCAGCGAGAACAAGTAAGCGTTGCATTGTGGGTCTCGAGGTAACTGCGGAAAGAAATGGTTTAAATCAATGTGCAAAGTCCGAATTTTCTCTTCGCCCAGGCGTTGCTTAAAGAGCTTTCAGTGACGAGCGGCGCTTCGCGCCGCTCGCTGCGCTAGCTATTATTGGATTAAAACTTGATATAGTTTTGATAATATGCTCATATATATTTTTTAAATTTTAAAAATGTCTTCAGTGTGATAAATTCGTTACAGAGTCATTTAGAGATCTAATACGGAGTCATACAGGGTGTGAAATGGAAAAATCCGTATTGGGATTCGGCTTGGCCTCGCCCAATACGGATTTCCATTTCACACCCTGTATGACTCCATATTAGGTCCCTAACTGACTGTGTAACTAATAATAAACTTCACTGTCAGCTACGTAATAAATCTAGTAACCTCAACGCTCATTTAAAAAAAAAATCATCTAACCTCCTATTGTTGTGATTATCACGACGAAGATACAATGTATATACAAAATGTCGAATCTAAAAATTTCAATTCAATCGTATATTTTCAATTCAAATAACTTCTTCCATACATGAGGTACTGGGTCTTTTGAGTAACTACAGAATTGATTATAAGTGGCTTTTAGATATAAAATTGAAAAAAAAAAACTATTTATCAACGGAATTCCCATACAGAAATACCCGGGTTGTCTTTTTTTGCCCATGTGGTTTCATGACCTTATATAAATACTGCTAAGGGTAGCATTAAACATTTTCACCCTAAGAAAACATTGCTTACCGAGGCAGCAGTTGTTATTGGCTGAGATCGAACATACAATGTACATGATCCTCCAGTTTTAGTTAAATGTATAATAATATACATCTAAATGCATATTGATCATTACCTTATATGCATGCATGACTGTACATGTACAACACTAGAGGGCAAATATGTCTGCAAATTACTTTACATATAAAAGTAGTCCACATCTAATGTTACGTTGATCAGATTCTGTGTCAACTATATACATGTACTATTCATGTAGGAATTTTTTTTTTTTTTTTTTTTTTTTTTTTTTTTTGGAAACTGCCATGCATCCTTCAGTAAATTGTTATTTTTAAAAAAGAATAATTCTTTGCATCATTTTAATCAAAGTCCATTTTAAATTCTTATTTCCCTCACCCTTTTTTTCGTTTTACCTTTTTAACCGCATGTTTCGGTCTCAGATTTGTAGCACTATTGGTGCGAATACTACGGATGTTTTTTCTAGACATCTTAATCTTCTCACCAAGCTGTGATCTAGAAAAGAAAATAAGTTTATGATTAAAACAGTTGTACTCACGTTGATCACTCATACACATTGGTAGGCTATGGTATAAAATTTCAGAATGACAACCAAACTACTACCAGAATATATATTAAAAATCAGGCCTCGCATGTTAACATGTGCACACTACCATAAGTCATGTTTTTCTTATTATTAAACTTTTTATGTGGTAAGTAAAACATCTAATTTATTGCATAAAAGATACATGAAGGAAAATAGAAACTTCACACCAAAATTGATGTATCTGGGGGAGCGAGGGCGCGCGTTTGTCACTGTAAATTGAATTTGCAGTCTCTTATCCACAATGGAGATAAAGATGGATGAGAGAAAAAAAAGTCGTAACTATTATTTTTGGGGTTGAGGGATCAAAAGTCAGAGTCAAATCATTAGAAAACTGAGATTGAACAAATTTGAATTGTGTCATTTGATTTTCCATTCTCATAGTTGCTAAAGAGATAATATGAGATTGAATCTATTCAAATCTATGTCAAAAGGTCAAGGACAACACATAAGTTTGGACAACATGCTCTGCATGTTTATTGAAAAAGTGTCATCAACTTTACAGATATGGCGCGAAAGCTCTTGATTAAGAGGTCATAAGAGTAAAGGATAAAGACTGAATAATAAAATAGACACAATTTAAAGACCATCTGGTCTCACAGTTATTGTAAAAAAAAAACATGTGATAATAAATAACAAAGACAACGGACAGTAATTATGCTCCAAGTTTAATTTAACAACACAAATTGTGGGAAGAGCAAACACGACCTCTGAAAACAGAGGTGGGATCAGGTGCCTTGGAGGAGTGTGCATTCCCTGTCGAGCGAGCGGTCACACCTACCTCGTGCCCCTGTGATGAGTGGGAAATCATTTTGAAAACTAGAGGTACTGTGAGCAGTGAACTCACAAAATGCTACCCTCGCCTCCCATATGATTGAATTATAATGGCAAAGTCCATTTTTGCCATGGGAAAGCCCAAAAATCTGTCGTTTCAACACAAAAAGTAGAAGGTGCACAATGGCACTATGTAATAAAGTTTCTGTGAAAGTATCATTAAATTTTATTCAGTGGTATAGGAGGAGTTGCGGATAAAAGATGGGCACCCTCGATATCATTGAAAGAATGTCAGAGTCTATGTCTTGCTATGGGAAACCCGAAATATGTATCCCATCAAAGAGTAAAATAGGGGTAGCACAAAAGCACTATGTAATGAGATTCTGTGAAAGTATCATTAAATTTTATTCAGTAGTATAGGAGGAGTTGTGGATAAGAGATGGATACCCTCAATATCATAGAAAAATGGTAGTGTCTATGTTTTGCTAATGAAACCCGAAATATGTATCCGATCAAAAAGTAAAAAAGGTGGTCACAATGACGCAATGTAACAAAGATTCTGTGAAATCTTATTAAATTTTCTTCACTGGTATAAGAGGAGTTGCGGATAAGAGATGGGTACCCCAAAGCGTAACGGACGGACGTACAGGTAGACGAACGGACACCTCAACACTATACACCCTCTGCTTTTCAAGGTTTAATAAAAATTAATGCCCAGAGCTCCCAATTTATATAAAAGATATCAGTTAATATTCGACCTAAAGATAGACTGTTATAATTGCGAAAAGGTCACTTACTAAATCATCGAAAATTAGAGAAAATTATTATTGATACATGTACTTTGGTAAAAGGTCAAACTTTAAGGTTGTATATTTTAAATGTTGGGGTCATAAGAGGTTGCTATTTTCCTCTTTATATTTCTAAATAAATTGACTTAATTTAGGTTCAATGAAAAAAAAAACAATATATGCCTAACCTTAGTGCTTACAAACTTACTGCTTTGAGAGATAACAATATAAGGTCCTGAGAGCAAAATATCTTTATCATGCTGTTTTCATTGAAAACCCAACATTCCATTTTGAAAAGAAAAATAAAACTGATATATACATACACACACAAGTTTAAAAGAAAATCAGGGGTTTTTTCCAATGCTTACGTACCATTTTGACTATCAGAAATCCAATTCATAAAACAATTCACATAACACATAACACCTTGATACTCAGATAAATGTACGATTGATTAAAAATGCAGCACTTCTTTCCCAATACAAGTCGCGACATATTACCTCATATTGAAACAAATGTAAGGATTGGCAATCTGTTGTTAATCCTTTAAGCCGCAGTACTTATACCTTTACCGTCATGGTCCCTAAAGTCAAAGAACGAACTTTTTCATATTATCCTTAAATAGTGCAGTGACAAGCATAGAAAGAGACGCTTATTTTTCGAGTTTAATGCACCGACATACCCTACGGCTGAAAGTTATATTTTATAAAAGAGGCATCCCTTCTCATGCATTTTCGCCCGATCGTAGAGTTTTCCCGAGTCAATTTTTTTTAAATTGCGAATAAAAGCGAAAAGGGGGGGGGGGGGTTTCGTAGTTTTTGTCTGCCGATATTATTCTTCACAAGTTAACATTTGAATTACATAAAAAAGTAAATCTTTGTACGTGATAGGATACTTATAGCTATCTAACTGGCTCTAACCATGTTTGCGTAGTGGGCAGCTTTGAACGTAAATTTCTGTTCATCAGAAACTGTGCTGGTGATTTTCCAACTCCATCAATCGGTGTATTTCTGTATTCGAGAAGAGCAATATTTGGGTCGGTGTTGCTCTCTTCGGCCTTTTTGAGAAGTTGTTTCACTGTCTGAAAACATCGCTCAGACTGACCATTTGAACGTGGATAACGGGGGCTTGACGTCTTGTGTGTGAATTCCCATTCTGATGCAAAACTCTTAAACTCCTGACAGCTGAACTGCGGTCTATTGTCTGAAAACAGTTCTAAGGGTATGTCATTTCTTGCAAACACTGCCTTACATGCAGCAATGGTAGATCGGGCTCGCAGATCAGGAAGTGGTATGATGTCTGGGAATTTCGAGTAATAGTTCAACTAATAGCAAGTAGTCTTTGCCTTTAAAGTGAAAAATATCTGCTCCGACTTTGATCCACGGAGTAGTAGGTATCTCGTGCGGAATAAGAGGCTGTTTAGTGTTTGTTTTCCGAAACGAGTTTGCATACTCCACAGGACTGTATCAACTGCTTTATATCATAGTTCATGTTCGGCCAAAATATTATGTTTCTGGCTCTCTGTTTAATTTTCACTATTCCAAGGTGAGGTTCATGCAACCTGTTCAGCATTTGGCGTCGCAGCGATAGAGGAATCATAACGGACTGTCCTTTGTAAAGTAGTCCATTCAGCACGGTTATCTCATCTCGGTAGTTCCAGAACATCCTTACACAAGTTGAAACTTGTGAGCGCATCTCAAGCCATCCTACTCTAACAATGTCTGCTAGTGTCTGGAACTGTTCGTCTGCTTCTGTTGCGTCCTTTAGTTCTTGTAGCTTTTCCTCTGTCATAGAAAGTTCTTGTTCGATATAGTTCACATCTATGTTTTCATCTACTAGTGTCTCTTTGCACTCTTTCAAATAAGCTCTGCTTAAAGCATCAGATATGAACATTTCCTTTCCAGGAACGTACTTTAGCTGTACATCATAGCGCTGTAGGCGCATCAGCATTCTTTGTAGTCTTGGTGTAGCTTGGTACAATGGTTTGGGGTGAATTGCTCATAAAGGCTTGTGGTCTGTTTCTATGGTAACTGAACGGCCATAAATGTAATGGTGAAATTTTTCACATCTGTATATAACTGCCAGCATCTCGCGTTCTATTTGCGCGTACCTCTGTTGAGTTTCTGTGAGAGCTTGGGAGGCATAAGCTATGGGTTGTCCATTTTGTACCAATACAGCACCTAATCCTTTGCAGCTAGCGTCAACAGAAATCGAGACATCCTTCTCAAGATCATAAATCCTTAGTACTGGTGCTTGTGTCAGTACTTCTTTTAATTTTGTGAAACTGTCTATCTGTTCTCTGTCCCAGTGCCACGTGACATCATTCTTGGTCAATATCCTGAGTGGTTCTGATAGATCTGCAAGATTTGGTATAAACTTGGAGACATATTGCACAAGTCCAAGAAATCTGCGAACTCCTTGTATGTCTGTTGGTTCCGGCATATTAATGATGGCTCGCACCTTTTTCCGGATCCACTTTAAGTCCATCCTTACCAGTGATATGGCCAACATACTTGACTTCAGGTACTCTGAGTTCAACTTTGTCCTTGTTGAGCTTCAGTCCTATTTTGCGACAACGTTCCAGCAACGAATGAGGTTTTCATCATGTTCCGCGTTGTTTTCCCCATGTACCAGGATATCGTCCACTAAACACTCAACACCAGGTAAGTCGGAGAATAGTTCCTGTACACGCTTTGAAAACACTTCTGAAGCTGAGGTAAACCGTAATTCCAAACGGAAGTCTCAAGTATCGGTAACGACCGAATGGTGTGTTGAAAGTAAGTGCTTTAGAACTTTCCTCATCGAGCTGAATGTGCCAAAAGCCATGAGTAGCATCAAATCGTGAGAAAACTTCAGCATTCGGCAGTCTTTCAATGATTTCCTCTACGGTCACAAGATGATAATGCTCTCGTTTGATGTGCGGATTCAAATCTTTTGGATCCAAACATATGCGAATCTTCCCTGGTTTGCGTACTGTCACCATACTGTTGACCCAGTCTGGACCCAATCTATCGGACCGTCTTGTTTCGTTATGACGCCTAAGTCTTCCATTCGCTTTAGTTCATTTTGGACAGGTTTAAGTAACACTGCAGGTACTTTTCTCGGTGGGTGGACCACTGGATTTGCACTTTTATCAATTTCAATGTGGTGCGTCCCGGACAATTTTCCTAACCCACTGAAAACATCAGCATACTGTTGCAGTAGTTTGTCCTTTGACATACACACTTCACTGTCAATAGACTCTGCTGGTATGTGTTGTACTAGTCCCAAGCGAGCACAGGTTTCTTTAGAGAGGATCGGAGTGCTTCCTTTGTGAGTAACATAAAACGGAAGTGTATGTTCCTTGTTGCGGAAATGGCAACGAATGTCAATCTTTCCGTCCGGATTCATGACTTGTCCACTGTAAGTGATAAAGTTTACGTTCACACTCCGTAAACGGTTCTTCGAGATCTTTAGCGTGTTGAACACATCTCACGGTATTATGTTCGCTTGAGCTCCTGTATCTAACTTAAACGTAACAGGTATTCTGTTGATGGTGCCTGTTTCTGTCCACGGCGCTTCATGAACACTGTCTACACTAACTATACCAAGGTACAGGTCTTCTGTTTCTTCTAAGGAATGCACAGTAGATTTTGTCTTTCAGAATTTTGCATAGTGACCAGTATTGTTACATTTGTAACATAGTTTATTATATGCAGAGCACTTTCCTTTGTCATGTTCTCTTCCGCATCTGCCACATGGATTTTTGGTATCTGGCGCACTTTTGACACGAGCTTTCGGTTTTCTGTGTTCACTATTGTGGTGTTGTTTGTCATAGTTCTTACGCAATTTATGTTCTTTTGATACAGTATGTGCATATGCAGTAACAGGCTCTTTGTGTATTCTCGTCGATTCCCGACGCGATCAAGTATAGTCGAAATCCTTGGAGCCATTCTTTCCAGTTTTCGGCTAAATTCCCTTCGAAACTCAAGTGCGACGGAGGTTTTAACTGTTCCATAATTCGGTGTTCACTTCTGACACCATGTGATGTCTTTTATTTAAGACAATCTTACAAACATGACTGCCACAACTATGTGCGTTTTCTGAATTGCTTTATTCCGGTTCTTACATAACATAGTAAAAGTTTAAACTGAACGGTTAACCACAAAGCATTAATTCGGGTATTATGTAGACAAAATGCAAATACCCTGTATAATATTTTTTTTTAATTCCGATTTTTTTTTTAAATAAAGAAGTTTGAACAACGCATTTAATTTAGTTTTAAGATTACTATTAACCTATTTTATTGATTCTTGTGAGATGTCACTTAACTCAAATTCAAAACTTGTGAATGCTGAATGGAGACACTTCAGATTTATGGAGTTGTCCTCGATTCAAAACTTATAAGGCTGGTATGAATGTTACGAAAACCTATTAGTATCAAGTAAAAGAAAAATAGATTCACGTTCCCACTATATATCTAGTATAAATACGAGAAAAGATATCGTAATTACGAGAATGAAATGGGTGAAGATAAAGAACAGCGATCTATCTAAAAAAAAAAAAGAAAAAAAACTATTTTAAAAAAATCTACAAATCTGTCAACAAGGCATAAAACATGGATCCCTTGAAATTCCAGAGGTGGGATCAGGTGCTTAGGAGGAGTAAGCATCCCATCTCAAAAGATCTGTTATAAATAGGAGAAAACTATCTCGTAATTACAAGAAAAGATCGTGTAATAACAAGAAACGATCTCGTAATTACGTGATAAGGAGAAATTCTTGTTATAACGTGATAATGTTTTATTAAAATTATGAGATAATGTTTACATACTAGTCCAGGGTTTTTTTCCTTCTTTTGAAAATTTCTCTCCGTTGGGTTTTAAATCTCTTTTAATTTATTCATTTTCATCTGCAAGAATCAATTATAATATTCTATCAACTTAAAAATAATTTTGTGAACTTAGAAAGGCATGAGCGAAGACTTTATGCTTTAGGTCTATTTACCAATGACTTTTGAAATTCAATTCTAAATTGTTCTCCCAGAGGAAAGGGAACCTCTACCCTCCCAAACCACCGAATTTGCATTAAACGTTTTCGGCGCTTGTGCATGCATTTCAATGAAAACCATAAAATAAACCAGAAGTCTCTGATGACACTGTAGCTCTTCTGGTTTCTATTTAATTAACAAAGGTAGAACTTAGACCTGAAACTATGACAACAGCAATAAATAAAATAATATCCTTGGTTTAGTCTCTTTCTGAGTCAGTTTAATTACAATTGGACATAAACCGTAGGAAGGGTAGCATTTTGGAAGAATTTCACAGAAATTTCTATTTTTAGTAACCATGACAACAATGTTCATTGAAATCAAAACCAATGTGTAGAATAATGTATTTTTACCATTTGTACCAAGTTATACTGAAATCCGACTGAAACTATAGGAGGAGTAGCGTTTTGAAAGAATTTCGAAGAAATTCCTATTTTTAGTAACCATGTCAACATTGAAATAAAAAAAAAGAAACACAAAATTATGTATCCTAGTTTAGTCTACTTGTGTACCAAGTTACATTGAAATCAGACAAAAAATATAGGACGATTAGCATTTTGAAAGAATTTCACAGAAATTTCTGTTTAAGTAACTATGGCAACACTGTTCATTGAAAACAAAAACTGATAAACAGGTATCTTAGTATAGTCTACTTGTGTACTAAGTTATATTGAAATTGGATCAAAACTGTGGGAGGAGTAGCGTTTTATAAAGTTGTTTACAGATAAACAGACAGACAGATAGACTTACGACGGACACCTTACAATGTACTTTTGCATAAGCTCTTCTGGTCTCCGACCAGTAGAGCTCAAAATGAAAGTGATAACAAGTGATGATTAAATTATTCACTAGGCACTCTTTTCTGTTCTTCCAAGACTATAAATAATATGTGGAAACTCGTTCTATGTACAATTTTTTTTCTCGTAATTACGATATCTTTTATTTGAATTAAAAGATATTTCAACGAGATCTTTTTACGAAATACTTTTCTCGTTATGAAATCTGTTATCAAGAGCATGTTCTACATAAGAACAATTTCTAAAACGAGGCAAGCTGTTGACAAACAAGTTGATGAAACAAGGATATCAACCGTCTCGTTTGAAGTCATCATTTGGCAAGTTTTATGGTCGATACAATGACCTTTTCAGCAAAAATAACCTATCATTAAGTAAAATGCATACTGACTAACTTTTGTCATACTAATTGTTAGGCCATTATTTACACACTGAATTGTCTACAGATTTTTCCGGGTTTTTTTTTTAGATCTTGACAAGGAACACAATCTAATAGGCTTTCATAATACTATATCCCGATTTAAAATGGAGTATTGGTAGTCATAATATATATTTGTAATTTTCACATAACTAAAGGAAATTCCATTTGTATTATTTTGCCTCTATGAATTGAACTTTTTGTACATAATTTTACGACAAAAAACTGTTTATTCATTGCCTTGTTGCAAATAAGGCAATACACTCCTGCATCCTTCTCTGGAGATCTTTATCATATCTGTTTGACGCGCTCATTTGACGAACTGGCGGACAAGTTCGCTAAATTGAGTTGGGTGTGAATTAAAAATAGTTAGACTTTCTCGTGTATTATAAGATTATCTCAAGCTTTGTGGCCAAATCTGTCATTCAGAAGAATTAATTTAGCAATCTACCACTTCTTATACAATTTAAAAAGAGGATTTTCGTCAGATTTTTGGATTTTTATACATTTCCATGTCTGATCAAAAGAGCTTCGTGAACCTGAAATCTTACCTGAGAAACATGACTTTCACACTTATGCGTTTGGAATTTTTATTCATGATATTGGGCACACATTTTCTCATCTAGATTTCAAGAAGTAAAGACATTTTTTTTTATGTTTACACTTGTGGTTTAAGAGGATAAATATGCCACACGCTTGATGAGCATGAC